AAAGTTGCCCCACGGCGCGTAGGCGTTGGCAACGACAGCCATGCTTGGCGACGACCAGGCAGGAACCGGGGACGTCGAGAGCGCGGCCTGCATGTAGCGTAGCGAGTGGCCACGGTGACGCGCTGACCACGTAACAAGCGCCGGCTTGAGGCCGAGGCCAGCTTGGTGTTTTGGCGCGAAGACGATACTTTGATGGAGGAGCCAGTGGCCTTGCGCACCCGCGCCGATGACCGGCGGCTCGCCGTTGATGAACTGGAGGATCATTTTGTCGATGATTGCGGCCGTCGTGGTGTAGACGTACGTATTGTGCGGGGAAACACAGCAACGTGATTTAACCAAGAGTCTTCGTGGTTCAACGAGCGTTGGAGTCACACCGACCAGCCCGTGGTCGAATGAACATCATGTTTCTTTGCAATCGCGTTCAACCACCAAACGTCCAGGCTCAAGTGCTTAACGATGACTTTCTTCAACGGCACGTAAATATCGTCGTCTCGCTGCCAATATGAAAACAGGCCGGATGGACCTATTTTCCTGTCTCCAGGCCTAGAATGCCTAATTAGGACATTCATTCTACAAGCCATGAGCGAAGCCAAGGAGCTCAAGCGCCGGAAGGTGACGGCGACGGCGCCGGTCGAGGACGAGGCCAACGACGCACCGGCAACCAAGGAGGTGCATGAGCCGATGGATGTGGCGCTCGTCAAGCACATCCTCGAGTCGATGGGCGTCGACAAGTACGAGCCACGCGTCGTCACGCAGCTGCTCGAGTTCGTCCACCGTACGACGTCGCGACAAGTGTCGATGCTAACGACGATGACGACGTAGGTTACACGACGGACGTGCTCGTGGACGCTCAAGAGTACTCGCAGTATGCCAACAAGGCCGAGATTGACGCCGACGACGTTCGCCTCGCGGCCATGTCCCGCTTGAACCACGCGTACGCGCAAATGCCCGCGCGCGAGGTCTCTTCCTCGTCAACTGCGCATGCTCATACCCTACACGTAGCTCATGATGGAGCTCGCCGAGAAGCGTAATGCGATTCCGCTGCCGCTCATTCCGAACGAGTATGGCGTCCGACTGCCGCCGCCCGAGCTCCAGCTCGCGACGGACCAGATTCCGTTCATGTCGCCGCACCAGGTAGAGGAGACATGCAGAGGATGCTCATGTAGACAATGATAGCAACAGCACCTCATGCACCACCACGACGAGCGCATGGTCGACCACGCGAGCCCCGCGACGCACCACCCGCCGACGACCGCGCAGCCCCGCGGGTCGCGAAACATCAAGTTTTCCGCGTCGCCGATCCCGATCAGCTTCAAGACGACCAGTGTCTAAGAAGCCTCCTGCATGTATCTAAAATGCATGTATTATGATGACGCGTGCTACGTCTCGCCGGTCACGCGCGTCCAGTTGAGGCCCTGGCCCGCGCGCTGGGCGACCGTCGTGTTGTCGGCGTCGATCGCCGAGCAGTGCGTGATCGCATATAAAAGCTTCTCCCGCATGACCGCCTTGGTCGTATACGCGGGCATGTCGATCGAGAAGAAGCCTACATCATCCTTCGTGAGCTTCGGCACAAAAAAATAATCGCCAAGACGTACACGTGTGGGCGAGCGGGAGGTACGTGTCGGCCTTTCCGACGGCCTTGGGCATGCCCGAGATCTTAAAGTCCTGCGTAAAGTCGGCAGCGTGCGTCGGGAGGCGGGACCGGCCCCACACAAAGCGCAGGAACGACGACTTTTGCGCATCGGTAAACTCGCGCAAGACGTCCCAGAAGAAACCAATGTGCGCGTCCGAGCCGCTGCAGCCGTCGCCGTACGTCGTGCGCCGCTTGAGAAGCTCGACGTCGACCGTCGCCTTGCCACACGTGAGCGTGGCCAAATCGTGCCACGAGAGCAGCGACAGCGTCGGCAGCGGCAAGATGGTCGCAAGACCCCGCGCCACGTCACCGCACACGGGTTGGAACTCGGTGAGGCGGTACGCCTCCGCGGCTTGCGCGTACTCGTCCTATATACAACTCCTTGTTGGCATGTGCATTGCTATGATGATAGATCGATACCTTGTCGTCCCACGTGACACGCACTTGGCGGCCGCCGGGCACAAGCTCGACTTCGCGCCGGTCCGACGAGAGCACCGTAAACGACGCGTCGATGAGGTCGTCAAACATGGCCGGTGTGATGCCATGCTTGGTGATGTTGTTGATCGTATCGACCACCTACGAAAGAAGGATTCACATCAGCATCCAGAAGACATGGATCGAAGATGCCAATGGACCTGGAAGCAACCGTGGTGGATCGACTCAATGTCGACGCGCGTGACGGGTTGGTCGACGAGGAACTTCCACACGACCGGTGGCAAGTTGAGATCGAGTGGCGTCTTGCTTCGGATCGCAATGCCCATGAGCTTTCCGAGGAATTCGGCCATTTGGATGAGCTTTGGGTCGTTGCGGAGGTGGATGTTGGGCACGAAAAACTCGCGGTTCTCGCCCACCTTGTGCACTTGGTTGGGGCACGGCTGCAGCAGCGGGAGCATGTTGGACTGCAGCTCCGTACTCATTTGCGCCAAGCACTCGCGGTACAAACCGCCAAAGTCGTCGCCAAACTCGCCAACAAATTGGCACTTGAAGGCGCGGTCATGGCCTCGGAGGAGCGACCCTTGCAGCGTCTGCAGTTGGGCAAAGCACTGGCTAAAGACCGAGTCCAGGACACCGGACGTTGACTCGGCCGCCTTGTGTCGATCAACCTCGATTTCGGGGCGCGCCGCGGCTGGCGTCTGCTGCTCTTTGAGAATGCTAAACCACCAGTTGAGTTTGACGGTCTGGAAGACGCAGCCTCGTAGCTCGCGCATGCACTTGGTGAGCGTCGACTGCGACTCGGTCGCTGCAAAGTCCATAAACGACAAGACGTGCTGCAGCCGCGCGTTAAAGTTGCGCAGCACGAGGAAGCGAGACCGGAGCGCGTCGAGCGGCAGCCCCACCAAGCACGGATATTCGCGAAGCTCGTCGTCGGTCGGCGTAAACTCGTCCGGTCGCAGTCGCAGTGGATCGCACGCCACAGATGCCTCAGCTCGCGCTTCGCAAAGCGCATTGACCAAGCTCACAATCGCTTCATCTTGATCGCGTCCAAAGACCGCGTGCGCGTCATGGAGCGCGGCTAGCGCCGGCGCGTACTTGAGTGCGAGCAAGTGGCGTCCCGCGACCGAGAATTCGGGCACGACCGTGAAGGCGACACCCCACTTTTCCACTGCGACCGGTGGCGCGGGCTCGGACACGGTACTGGGCTCGAGATCGTCTGGCGCGTCAGCGTCGACGAGCGCCATGCTCGGCGCAGGAGGCGGCAGCACACCAGCGTCCTCGCGCGTCGCAAGGAGGCGGCTGTACGCTTCGGCTTCTTCGCGCACGAGCGCTTCCATGGCGTGCATGTTGCCAAGGATAAAGTCGGCGGCCTGTTCCGCGTCGTCGTCGCAGTGCTTGAGCGCGTAGACGCACCAATCCACGGGAAAACCCATTTGGCTCAAGACGCTCGCGAGCTCGACGCGGTAATTCGGCACGGCCTCGGCCGTGGCTTCGACGTCGCCATCGTCGTCGTCGCTGCCGTAGAGTCCACTGGCATCGTCGTGCAGATGCATGTCGGGGACGTGCAGCGCGCCGTGCGAGAGCGACACATCGTTGTCCTCCATGCGATGGCCGCCCACGAGCTCAATGACGTCGCGCTGGTTGTAGAGTGCAAAGCCGGGGTAAAAGGTGCCCTCCAGCTTGGGCCCGGTACCACCGGGTCCGAACGCGACGCCAAGGTCCTTGCCGTTGAGCGCATACGAGAGCGTCCCGCGCTTCAAGTCGAGAATCAAGCGAACGACGTCGCCCGTCTTGAACTTTTCGCCGTACGTACCGCGCTGCTTGCTGCCATTGTGCCATAGCGCGCGGTTACCGATCCAGCCCCATCCGCGGTTGTCTTTGCCAAGGTACGAGTCGAACCGAACGTCCTTGCGCGCAATACCGAGAAAGATGTTGGACGACGCTGTCACAAAGGAAATCTTGACCTCCCACGTGTGCACGCCCGAGTCGAAGCGCGCGACGCCGATCGCCGACTGCCAGCCCTTGTCGCGCGTGAGCGACAGCCGTGTATCCCGCGCGTCCAGCTTGATGTAGGGGCCTTTCCGGAGTCGGTCAATGCGGCACTGAAAGTTGGATTGCACCGGAAAACGCCACGTGAATTCGTTGCCATCCACCGTGATCTCTTGGCCACCGCAGGCGCCGGTGAACGTGCGCACTTCGGCTTCCGCAGTCTCGTCACTGCTGCCCTGCGCGATCTGGAGGCAGTGTGACCCTGACGTCTCGCAGAGCGGGTCGAGCTTGATGCGAATCGAGGTCGCAAGAGCAATGTGCACCGTCTCTTCCTGCAGTTCGAGGTCGTACGGATGCGCGCTTGCAAACGTCTTGCACACGTCACGTGAAATCGACGCGAGGAAATTGTCGGCCGAGAGGAGAAACTCGTCCGGCAGTGGTGTCTTCTCGACGAGTGCGTGCATGATGCCGTACACTTGACTGAGATGGTCAAACCACTCAAAGCCCTCCATGGGCGCGTCCCAATCGGTCGTGTCAAATGGGAACGCGACTTGGTCGTGGACGCGGAGCAGTAGTGTCATGTCGCAGTCCATCGAGATTGTCGGCTGCAGCTGGCTGTCACCGAGGATCGACGAGAACGCCGTGCCGAGAAGACGACCATTCTTCGTGAAGAAGATCTCGTGCGCGTCCAGTCGAAGACCGCAGCCATAAATGTCGCCAGGCGTCGGCGGCAACGCGACGTCGGGCCATGGCCACACGTCTGCGAGCGGATCGCCACAGAGCGTCTTGCCGCTGCTGGGCGCGAACGCGTACGACTTTGCCTGCGTTCCGACATACGACGACCCATCGAGCATCATATCGGCCGTCGCGAACCCCAGGGCAAACCCCGCCGGCCGCGCGCTCTGCGGCTTGGCGTCTTGGACGACAATCTCAAAGTAGCGAAGCGTCGCAATCGCCCGGGTCTGGAGAGAGATGTGCAGAAGCGGTGTGCTCTCCAAACGCAGCGAGACAACGTCTGGTACCATGCCTTCGAGCTTGGCGGCCTCGGGTGACGCTGCGTACTGCATTGCCCACTCGCCACTGATGGCACCCGCCTCGATGTGAATCTTGGGTGAATGCATTGGGGCACACGCCGCCTCGAGCCCGGTGCGATGCAGCGTGTACGGTAGCGTGGCGGTCGTCTCGTACAGCGGTAGCTGCTTGAAGATCGCAAGTTTCTCGGCGCGGTTCTGGTTGTCGACCACCAAGAGAAGCTCGACGAGTGCTTGGAGAAGCGAGCTCAGCATCAAGCTACCCTCTTGGTCTTGGTGCAAAAACATGACTTTGGACCGACAGTACAGTACGCCTTCCTTGTCTTTCCATGGACATCCGTGGCGAATCAGCGTCGCAAGCGCGCGCACGAGCTCGATCGTGATGTGCGAGCTGCGCTTCTCCGAGAGCGCTTGCTTGACCAGCACAAAGAGCGCAGACGTGAGCTCCGGTACGAGGATCGATCCCGCGCTACCGAGACACTGGTTGGCGTGCAAGAGAACGTTGACAAAACGAAGCACTGTCGCGGTGGTCACGGGGGAGCACAAGATGCGGTCGTCGTCCGAGAGCTGGAGCACCGGCACGGCGGTCGGCGGTGACAGTTGCGGACTCGTCGCAATCAAGTGCGCCGAGTAGTCGGCGGCGACCGACCACAGCGCGACGCTCGGCGTCTGCCATACGCATGTAGCGCTGTCGAGACACTGAACCAAGTCTTCGCGGACGCACCGGACGCTCTGCACTGGCGGCGGGTCGAACGGCGCCTCTTTGTTGCCGGCGATGCAGCCCATCGCGACGTACCCAGGCGGCGCAATCGGCCACCACATCGAGCGCAGCTGCTTGCGCTCAAACTCCGTGTCCGTCTCCGAGTTCTTGGGAAGGCCTTTCCCCGTCACGTCAACGCACTCGAAGCGGAGGGGCGGCGCGAGGCATCCGTCATTGTTGTCGCGGACAAGGGTGATCGGTGTCGATGGCGCGTCGTTGCCGGCCTTGGCCACATCGCCGAGCGCGAACCACTTTTCCGGCGCCAGCAGTGTCGTCTGGAACGACGCTGGGAAGACCGGTCGCCAGAGCGTGACGCCGACATCAAAGGGCACACGCGCGTCCTTCTCGAGGAGCGAGCCGCCTTTCTTGCGCCACTTGTGGCGGTACACCACCAGCGGGTCGGGGTGCGGAATGCCCCAAATGCGCTCGTACGACGCGACGATCGTGACTTCAAGGCCCGACGAAACAAGAAACGGTCCTTTCGGGTACTCGCTGCTGCCATCGTGGCTGCTGCTGGCGCTTGTACGCGACTTGGACTCGTAGTCCTTGGCACTAAACGTCTTGGAGATGACGTGCATCATCGTGTCGAGCACCAAGTCTTCGCAAATCGCGTGCTTGGTCGCCACGTCGTCGGTCGTCGAGAGCAGGAGCGTGCGCACGACCTCGTGCACCGTGTTGTGGTTTGCATGCGATGCCAGCAGCGTATCCGTCTTGTCGATGGAGCTCGCGAGCGTCGAGACGTTCTGGAACGTGCGCATGTTGGCCTCGAGCGTCCGCGCCGCCGACGACGCCATGACGTCGGACGAGATGCGCGCCAGGATTTGCTGGATGCGACCTTGCGTGTGTCGGTGGTGCGACTGCTCATCGAGGCTCTCGTCGCCCGGCGCGTGCTCGGGAAAGAGCACGAGCTGCCGCAGCGTGTTGCGGTCGCCAAACGAGCACAGCGGGCTGCTCTCGTCGAGCTTGTTGGCTTGGTGGTGCTACAAGAGACACTTGGCCATGAAAAGGACAGAGAGAAAGGAGGTACGTACGGGCTGGAGGAGACGAATCACTTGCAAAAGCAGCTTGCGTGCGTGCGTCGCGCAGAGCATGTGACCCAACACCTCTTCCTCGTAGTCGACTTCGCGCCAGTTGAGCAACCGAACACGCTCGTCCATGTGCGCGGTACACGCACTCCACGGCACGACGTCGTCGCGCTTGGAGCTTTTCGCAAGCGAGAGACGCATCGGGCTTGAACGCGCGGCGATCGACCGGCGCGGGGACGACGCTGACGGCGCCGTCGTTTCGAGGAGCCGGTAGCTCGGGTTCTCCTCGCAGGCGTCGTGAGCCGTACTTGCGAGTTGGTCCACGGCCTGCGACACAAACTTGTCAAATTGGTCCGAGACAAGATCGTCGTCTTCGTGGCTCAGCTCTTGCGTCACTGTTTCGCTGATGTGCGCCGTCCTGTTGAAGAGGAGCGAGCGCAGGGCGACGCCAATGTTGTTGCCGCTCTGCTTGAGCGCATGCGAGCACGCGGTGGTGCTTTGACCCACAATATGGGCAAGGCTGCGCGCCGCCAAGTGGTGCTGCGGACTGAGGCCCAGACTCTACATGGGATATCATGACCACCGAGATTTGTCAGAAAACTACCGCTACCTGCGCCTTGCCAAGGTGGTCCTGGACATATTTGAGCGCACGGACAACATCGCCATTTTGCACTTCGAGCGCGCGCTCACAGAGCTCCAGCTCGACGCTTTGGCCGCCGAGGTCGCGCACACGCTTGTACAAATCACGCGCCATGTCGCTGACACTGAGCTTGGCCGCTTCCACGAGCGGCTTGGGCGCCTAGTTGGCATATGGTCTGTACCTTGTCGAGAGAGGGCAGGTGCAGTACCGTGGTCTTCTTCGCAGGCACAATGTCCCCAGACGCCGTGAGGACACGAGTGCGCGCCAAGACGTCGCTCATGATGGCATCGCGACTGAGGCTGTCACGACCCAACGCAATGCGCAACGCTTCGTTGATGGCCATGGCTGGCACCGGCCCGTTGTCGCTGCTTTCGCGTTGCTGGAACGACGCCGGCGACAGCAATAGGTGCGTGGGTGACCCAATGGCCGGTGTTCGCGGCGAGTGGGTCGAGATTGCGATCGGCGGCGGGTTGGACGCGGCACGCGGCGAGTCCACAGCTGGGTTGGGAGAAATGAGCGCCCGTGGGAGGTCCGAGTCGCCAATTGTCGTGATGAGGCGCAAGCCTTGCGGCCCAAGGCGTGCACGGATGTTGCTCATCATACCGCGGTTCTGGACTTCAGCCGGGCTTCGCGGCTCTTGAAACTCGAGCTGCTGTGCCTGTTGCGGCTCCGAGGCCAGGCTGGCGCCACTCGTGGACGGTGCGTCAAGGAGCACGGGCGCGCTGCTCTGCGACGACATGACGTGGAACTCGTACGTGATCATGCCACCCCGCGACAAGATGAGCGAGATACGCGCGCCATGCGAAACCCGCAAGCTCGCCCCGTGGACACGAACACCATTGACGATGGTGCCGTTCTTGGAAAAATCCTGCAACTCGTAATACTCGTTGGACGCATCTTGGCGCGCCCGGCGTAAATGGAAATGCCGACCGCTCACGCTGCGGTCGTTGATGACAATGTCGCACGAGTCGGTCGCACGTCCGACGCGCACCACCGGCGCCCGCAGATGAAAGTTGGACGTGAACGGCGTCTCCTCGGTCGCCGAGGCTGTGTTTTGCACGGGCACAAGCATGCCCCAGACACCGAGCGGCACGTCGTGGGATGCGTCGTTGGTGGCACTGCCCTTCGCAGCCGTGTGAAACGACACGGTCGACGACCGCTTTTTCGGGCTCTGGATCGCGTCAATGCCCCAGCTGAGCGCGTTCTCGTCGCCGAGCTTGCGCACAACGTCGTCGCGGACATGGCCCTCAATCGCATCCAGCGCGGCGTCAATGACGTTCTCGGCTGCCAAGTACGTTCGGTGCTCCGTGACGCAGACCCATTTCGAGTGGAGGCTCGCAAGGTCCTCGACAGCAGCGTTCGCCACCGACACTTTCGGGACGCGGAACGCATTCTCGGCCGCGAGGAGCGACGCAATGTTGGACACGATGGCTACGTCAAGGTTGTTGCTCATAGAGGTGTCGAGCGACGGCAGCTGCTTTAGAATCGACGAGAGCGCTTTGGTCGACCGCCACCGGATCTGGTTCTTGTACGACTTCAGCATAGGCCCGAGGATCGCTTGGACGATGGGGTTGAAACACTGACGCGATGTGAGCGGGCTTGGACCCGAGGGTACGATGAGCTTGGATAAGGCCTGAAGCGCGTCCGCGAGGTGGTCGTCAAACATGTTGGGGATCGCCGGAATGCGCTCGACGGCCTGGAGACTCTTGAGCGGCACGCACAACGTTGGCAGCGACATCGCCTCGCTATTTTCCAAGAGCGAAACCGCGCCGTCAATGACGCCACGCGCCGACTTTTTCAGCGCGACGAGCACACCGCTCTTGTACCGACCGCGCATCTCGAGGTCTTCAAAGAGTACGTGACCACCTTCACGAAGCACTTCCGTGTGACCGCCCACGACGCAGATCGCAGCCATGAGCAGCGTCGCGTGGTCTAATGCTTCCCGGGCCTTCTTGCGCAGCGCCGCAGCCTTCTTATCAAACGAGAGCGACTCGGAAATGACGTCAATCGCGCGCTCTTTTTGGTCTCATCCACGTGCGGCGTCCCGCGGGCGTCGCCGTCGTCGTCGTCGTTTTCGGGAGACGTCGTCTCGGGTTGGCGCACGGCATCGACGGTACTGGCCTCCGTCGGTGTGGTTTCATCGTCGTTGGCAACGCCCAGCGACACATTGTCTTCGTTGGCGTCGGCAAAATGCTCGTAAAACTTGGTGATGGTCTGTAAGAGCTCGTCCACGAGGTCCGTCTTCTCCAGCGACCGCGACACAATCGCACCGACCGCTTTCTTCCATGTCGGAAAGAGCGTGAGGTACCGAATCAACGACACGGCTTCGCACGACTTGGCTTGGTTGGTGTGGTGCTTCTCGAGCATATGGTGGAGCTCCGATAGGATCGTGGCGTCCCCCGACACGCCCTTGCTGCAGTTGAAGTAGTTGCAAAGTGTCGTCGACGCGGACTCGAGGCCCATCTCGTGTTTGCACAGCGTCGGCCGCAGCAGCATCGGACCACCCACAAGCAAAAATAGAAACGACACAATATCCGACGCGCCGTGGACCGACGGCAGCGATCGAAAGACCTTGTTGACCGACGAGACCGACTGCAGAGGGAAGAGGAGCATGCTCAGTCGCATGCAAATGATCGACGACGATAATGTCGAGCTCAGCATCCCCGAGACGATCTCGCGTAGCACGACCGGACTCGACGCCATGACGGAGCACACGTCCGAGCTCACCGAGCCGCATGCGAGAAGCACCCAAAGCACTTGGTTGCTAAAGAGTTGCGAGAGGACATGCGGTCCATCCGCGGGCTTGCTCTGCTCGGACGCACCATACTTGATCAGTCCGACACATGCATCCGAGAGGTTGAAGAAACCCTCGTCCTCGGTCGAGAGTCGCTGGTGTGGGCTCGGCACCGGCGTTTGGTGCGATGTCGATGCGTCACCGAGGTTTTGCAGCATCGCAACAAGGAAGCCTCGCAAAACGGTGTTTACCGTCGGTTTCTTGTCCTTGTGCGAGACGTGCTGGAGTGACTGGTACATGAGCGCACGCGTCATGGCCCACGCGCCCGAGAGCAGCTTGAGCAGCGGCAGCTTCTTCGATGTGTTGGAGCGCTTCAAGAGCAATGGCGATGTCTCGTCCATGGCCTCGCTGAGCGCGTTCCGGTCCATCTCGCGCATGAGCGACTCGAAGAGCGCATCGCACGACACATTTTGCTGGTCCGTCTCCTTGGCACTTGCTTCGTCTTTGGGTGGCGTCTTTTTCGACCCGTCGCTCTTGCGACCCGTGAGAATATAAGAGCTGTAAAAGCCAGCCGCGATCGCGACCACGTCGTCGTCCGAGTAGGATGACGTTGGGATCGGCAGGGGAAGGTCCGCGGACGGCAGTGTGCGCGCGCCCGCGCCCAGCTGACCCTTGTTGTTGCGGCCAAACACCATGACACGCGCGTTTCCCAACAGCAATAGCGTGTGGTAGCAGCCGCACGCCGCCGAGACAACATGGGCACCTAGCGGCAGAGGCACCACGTGCGGTGAATTCTTGTGCTCCTTGCTGCCAATGCCCAGCTGGCCGTAGTCGTTGCGACCGAACGTGATAAGTTTGCCCTTGTCCGTCACGAGCGTCGTGTGATAGTAGCCGCTCCAGCCCGAAAGAACCTTCTCGTCGCTCTCGCTCGGGTTGAGCTTCATGTGATTCGGCACCTTGACGCTGCGCGCGTGGCCAAGACCGAGTTGCCCATAGTCGTTCTTGCCACACGTGTACACGTCGCCGCTCGCAGTGATGATGACTGTGTGGTACAAACCGCACGACACTTTGGTCACGACTTGGCTTGAGAGCGCATCGACGAGCTGCGGCGTGTGCTGGTGCTGCGTGTGGTCCAAGCCGAGCTGCCCGCAGTCGTTCATACCAAACGTGAGGAGCTCGCCGTTGCTTGTCACGACGGCGCTGTGGTGGTAGCTCACGCCTGCGGAGACAATCAAGTACTTTTCGTGAAGCGACTCGATGAGCTTGGGTGTGTGCGACTTGGAGATCGTCGAGCCGAGACCGAGCTGACCACGGTCGTTGTACCCCCACGAGTACGCCGAGCCGTCGACGGCGACCGCAATCATGTGCTCGCAGCCGTTGGCAGCAGCCACCATGCTGATGGGAATGCCCGAGAGCGACCGAACGGGTGTTGCGAGGACGACGCGCTCCTCAAAAGTACCGTTGCCGCACTGCCCACTCTTGTTGAGGCCACACGTGTACACAACACCGTCGCGCATGACGACTGCAAGCACTTCGTTGCCGCCCGTCATTTGCTTGACGCTCTTGGATGTAAACAGAGGAACGTGCTCGAGTTTGGACGTCGAGTTGCAGTGCCCGAGGCAGAGTTCGCCATAGTTGTTTTGGCCACAAGCGAAGAGTTCGACGTCTTCGTACACCTCTTCGGGCTCGGCGTTCAAATGCCCAAGGCCACTCATGGCATCGTCACCCGACAACGACGGCTTGCTGTGCTCAAAGAGGGCGAAGACCGTGCTGTTCCAAGACGATCGCGTCGGACACAAGATGGACGTGGCCGTTTCGCGATCTTCATCTTCGCACGCAATGCACGCGTAGTGGGCGGCGTCGACGTTGCCGCGCATGTCGTCGTAGCAAATACTACAAAGCTTCACCGTCTCGTCTTCCTCGCAGACGTAGCAAACACCCGGCACGGGACACGCGTGGCACTCGACGCACATGTAGTCGTCCCAGTACAAGTCGCTGTACGCAGGTCCGTTCTCTTTATCGAACGCGCCGCAAAAGCCCATGTACCCGACGTCAATGTTCATGCCGACGGCAGGACGAAGGAGCTTAACGACGATAAACCGACCCGTGATGGGCGTCGCGAGTCGTTTGGACACTTGGGAGCAGTTGCCGTCAAGCACAAAGTAGAGCACGGGCTGCGTCTCGTCGCGCTTGGCGTGGGCATCCTTTGGCGCGGCTGGGAGACCCGCAAACTCGTCGGGTGTTAATCCATTGTACTGCTCGAGCTCCTCCAAATCGGGGAGCGAGCTCAACACAAAGACGGCCGCGTGCTGCAGCGGTGCCGTGTAGCCCGCACCCGGACCGCGCAGCGTGGCGTACGTCACGGTGAACGGTGTGTCGTTCATGTGCTTCAACACGATGTTGACGTTGGCGCCGACAGACGAGCTATACACCGAGTTGTCGTCAAGCAAGAGGTTCGGGACCGCGTGGGAGACGCTGAACTCGCCGCCGTCGCACGAGACGACGAGCAAGTCGAGGTTCTTTCCCACTTGCTTCTCGGTGGCCAGCGACGTTGCATACGTGCCTTTGGCGACGGGGTACACGGCCGAGAGGGGCAGCTGCGGCCGCGCGCGAGGATGGAAGTTGGTCAAAACGACCGACCCGTTGCAGAGACACGATAGCGCGGGCACGTACGGCGCTTCGAGTAGCGAGAGGTCCACAGCGTACACCAGCGCTTCCTTTCGCTTCTGGTAGAGCGTGATGCGACCTTCGTTAAAGTCAAAGAGAACGCCCATGAGGTCTTGCTCGAGCTCGTCGTCGTTGTATTCGACCGAGAGACCGTGGTCCAACAAGCCGCTATGGACGGCAGAGAACGCCGTGTCGACAATACTCAACACCAGAAGCCCGTGGCCGCGGCGACCCACCGAGAGCACAGACAGCTCGATGTAGAGCTGACCGTCCGCAAAGCTCTTGTTGGCAACGACCGACTCGAGAACGGGCGCCGCCATCATGACGTCGCCAGCAATGATCGTCGAGCAGTCGGCCGAGAGCTGCAGATTGGGGCCTTTAAGGAGCCCGCTCCAGCACAGCGTACTTCCGCCAAACGTCTCGCTCGTGAGACCACCCGCCACAAATGGTGTCGTGAGCTTCGGTCCCATGGCGCAGATACGCGGTGGCACGGGGGCATACAGGTCCCACTGGAGGTCGCTGTCGAGGAGACCAATGACAGGGGCCACGCCAAGGCCGAGCAAAGCGAGTCCCTGGAGCGAAACCGTGTGCATCTTTTTGTACCCGGCATAAAAGTCGAGCGTCTTGGCGTCACAGTCGAGGAGCACACCAATCGGGTGCGTGCGCGACCACGCCAGCGTCTGGAGCCCGGCGCACGTGGTTTTTCCTTGGCAAACGCAACGCCTACGACACCCTCCGAGACGTAGGGTGTATTGACGTTGGCCGTGGCGTTGCCGACGCCGACAAAGACGGGGTACGTGCCCTGGTGCCGCAAGAGAAGTTCCCAGTACCATCGACCTTTGGTGACGATGCGCTGGACGATTGCAAGGCCACCAACATCGGTCGGCAGCGGCGCATCGGCCATGAACGGACTCGACGGCTTCTTGAGCACCGTCGCAATGTGCGTATCCGTGTCCACTGTGACGTTGGCGCCGTGAAGAAAGCGCACATGGCTCATACCGACGCCGGCCGACAAGATCGCAGGCTTGAACGTGTCGGTTTCGATGGACGTCGCGTCGTCCACATCTTCGATCGAGAAGACGTCACGCCAACCCTTCCACGACGTCATTTCCGTGAGGAAGGCCGGAAGACAGCTCTGGCTCACGGCCGGCCAATCCTGTGGTCCGTACGGGATGCTGCACACGTCCATAGCCAGCAAGACGTCTTGGACGGCCTCGTGCATGGCGTGGACCGACGGCTTGCGCGCCTCGGCGCTGCAGTACGCGTGCTTGAGGTGCAGCATCGTTGCTGACGACGATTCGAGGAGGTGCGTTACGAGTGTGAAAAACTGGTCCCCGATAGCTTCAAGCGTCTTGCGACCCGCGAGCTCAAGTTCGTGCGAATAGTGCACTTTTATTGTCGCGAGGCCGTCGGTGCTCGGTGACGACCGCCGGAACGACGCGGCAAGTGTCGGCAGCAAGTGAAATCGGGCCGAAGGGATGCCCAGCGTGCACTGCAGCAAGGCGAAAAGATCTCAAGTCCGTGGAGGCGTTGCTGCGCGCGCTGCTTGTGCTTCCGAAGCAGCGCGTCCATGTCAGCGTCGAACGACGCTCCTTCTGGCTGCTGGAGGAACGCAAAAATGTCCGTCTGAATCTTCTCATCCTCTTCTTCAATCATCTCGAGCGACTTGGTCTCCATCAGCTTGTTGAGTTGCCGAAGCCATTGCTCTTGGTCCGAGTCGCCATGTGCGGTAGTACTGCTACTGGGCGAGGCGTCGGCAGCCTGGCGCGAGGCAAAGTCGAATGGCGACTGTGAGATGCCCGGAAGGATCTTGAACGGCGACGAGCCGTGCTCTACAGTGCTCGAGACGGGCACCGGCGCCAGCTGCAACAAAAGGCGCGCGCGCTCGACGATCGGGTCGCACACTTGCTTGTAGAGCACTTGCTGCCGCTCCTTGGTCGCCTCCGAGTCCTCGGCGGCTTCGTCGCCATAGACCTTGCCGTCACTATACATGGTTCGTGCTGAAGCATCACCATCCTTGTAAGCCTCATTGCATACCTCAAGGTGACGGCTAGCTTTTGTTGCTCCCGCACGATCCTATACGACACGATTTATACTAGCAAGCCGTGCAACAGAACTAATACCATCGGCGAAGCTGCAGTGCCGTGCGCCACGCATCCACGAGCGCATCGCTCGGCATACCGTCGCGCGTGAGCGGGTCGCTCACGTATGACGTGTGGCTGTGCTTGGCGAGAACCGCGAACGTTGCGCGCACAGCCCGATCCACCGCCTCGAACCCACCGCTCTTCTCGAGCGTTCGCTCCACGCTGTCTTGGCGCTTGAGGCGCGTCGCGCGTAGCTTGGGGTTGATGTGCGCGTCCGGATCAACAGCCATCTTGACCTTGTCAATGAGCTTTTTGCCGGCGCCGTCGTTGGTGAGGATTTGCGACAAAAGAAGATCGTTGCGGTTGGCCTCACTCTCGACGTCGTCGAGGCCGCCGCGGAAGAGCGGCGACTGAATCCAGCGTTCGAGCGACGCCGGCGTGTCTTTGACCGACGCGTCCCCAATGATGAGCGCCGATGCATACTGCCCACCCAGATGCGCCAAGAGGCTTTGAATATCATGGAGCCAGTCGAGGTGCGCTGCGAGCTCGGGGCTCGGCATCGTTGAAGACACGACCTGCGACGGCGCCGGCGGTGGAAACACACTGGGCGTCAAGAGCGCAATGTGGCACGTGAGGGTGTCCCACGCAAACTTCCACGTAAATTTTGTTGCGTCATACGGCGTGTCGCTCAAGTCGTCAATCTCTGCGTGGCCGCGGTACCCGACGAGGAGACTGCGCTTCCCAAAGACGTTGGCAAAACCCGGCGAGAGCACGATACGGTACATGTCATAGTCGCGGACACTGGCGGTCGGCAGACGCTTCACGGGGCTGCCCACACGCACGGCATTCCAGAGCAGACCTGCAAGCTCAATGCCATTCAGCACGCGGTTCGATGGTATTTGAAGCGCGTCCAAAAGCGCACAAGTGACCTGAAGCGTCGCCGATCCATACAGAGCCTCCTCTTGGAACGTCGCCGGTAGCGTTGGTGTGAGCGACGACGACGGCGTCAGCGACATGGACCCAGATTGCAGTGACGTCATCAGGTCGTGCAGTGCCGTTAACAGCGTCTGCACCGCTGGCCACAAGTCCATGACGGCGCTTGCAAACGCAGGACGAATCGAAGGCAAGTTGAGAAGGCTCACGAGCGTAAACGGAAGCAGTTTGCCGGCAAAACTCTGCTGGAGAAAAAGTGCGGGCGCCACCATCGACGGTGTCTTGAGCGCGTCGACGAGCTGAGCCATGTAATGCAACAATCGCTCCACAATGTGCTTGGTGATGGCCCACCCGTGGAGACTCGACGCGGCCCAAAAGAGAGACGCACGCAAAAGCACGTGGAAGCACTGAAATTCGGACGACGCTTCAATACTGACAAGCGCTGAGAGCGTGTTAGGCGCTGCGGCCAACGTTTGCTGCCAGAGGGCGCGCAAAAGCGTCTCGGCAAACGTCGTCGTGATCGCCAGCGATGTGTCGTCGACCGACTCGGCCATGAGCTCGAACAGTGTCTTTGGACACGCAAACGACGGCACGAGCATCGGCAAGAGCAAGTTGGCGACGTCGGTCGACTTGGCTTGGTCGTTGAAAAGCCGTGTGAGCACCGAAAGGCGGTCGAGAAGCGACGGAAACATGATTGCAAACCCGCAGTTGATCGCGGCGACAGTCTCCTTCTTGATGGCCACTCCGACACCATTGTTGTCGGCAGGTGGCACGTACTCGGCAATCGAAAAGAGAAGCTCCCGTAGCAAGTAGAGCGTACCACCTGGCTCTGTCGATGCCGACGAGAACCCCAAGTCGTCGAGCACCAAACACGACGTCGAGAGCTACAATCACCATGTCAAAATAACAGCATGTGTTCAACGCGTACGGACCTCGAAAAAGTTGAACTTGATCAAGCGCAGCACGACCAAAAGGGGGTAGAGCGTCTCTTGCGACGCGGCGCCCTGCGGCGCCAAGTACTTGGTGCCCAAAAGCAAGAGGAGCCGGTGCAACGCGGCAAACGACGGCTCCTTTGCGTCAATGCACAACGAACGATAGCTGCAGCGCGACGGCTGAATCGCATCGACTTCGTATTGCGGCACGTCGTTGCCAAGGAGACGGTCGAGGTGGCCCAGAATGCAGCTTGCCGAGTCGAGACAGGTCGGGAGGCACTGCGCATCGCCCGCGTGCACCCGCAAGCTCGCCAAGACCGTCGACGGCTTCCCGACGACCGTTTGCGACGATCGGCCATTCTCGAGGCGCTTGTGCACGGCCGACGGCGTCAAGAGTCGGATCATTGTCGTCCACGTGGGCACGGCCATGCCATTTTCCAGCAATGTCGTGCGACCACCATAGAGAAAACAGGCGAGTGGCGCGGGCACCTGACCGGATGGAAGGGCACAGACTCGACCGGCAGCGACAAACATGGCGGTGTGCGCGAGGGGCTCGGCGCCAACCACATCGACCGACGCCCACGTGCACCGTGTGAGTGAGAAGACCCAAAGATCGCCGAGCACGTCGCCCTTGCGCGTCTCACCACCGTAAATCCAAATGTTGCCGAGGTCCGATGCCATGCCGTGGTGCGCGCGGACCGACGGCATGAGCGGATTGAACTCTTGCATCTTGTCGCCCTTCATGTGCTCGCGGGGCGTGTAAATGTAGTCGTCGTGGCAGAGGTGCCAAACGCGGTCAAACGTGTTGTAGCGCCAAAGATCGGCGCGCAGTCGGTCTTCCTTGTCGATGCCACCAAACACATAGACGCTTTCGCCGACCACGCACGACGCACAGCCGACGCGCGGCCCCGGATCCAGTGCAATCGACGACGGCAACTTGGCCCATGCAAAGTCTTCCAGCGACAGAAACCACGCGTCGCCAAGGATCGTATCGTCCGAGGCGCGGCCGCCAAAGAGAAAGACAAGCGTCTCGAGACGGACGCGGACGGCAGCGACCGTGTGGTGTGCACGCGCAACGGGTAGTGATGTGGCCGATGATCCTTGGATAAGGTCCCATGTCGGAAACGAACCGTCGGCGTTGGCTTTCGTCGAGCACTTGTACAAGTCGAGGTGGCGCGACACTGGAGCGTCGTTTTCACCACCAACGACAAGAATGTTGTGCTCATCGATGAGCACCGCTTGGTGAAATTTCAGCGGGATCGGGAGGTCGCTCCAGCGATCCCACTTGTTGGTCGGGAGGTGGCAGACCCACACCTTGGTCGTTGCAGCATCCTTATCGCTCCCCAGCATACCACCAATGACAAAGAGACGGTCCCCGACGAGCACCTTGGCCGACCCGTGGAGCGCTTCGGGCGCGTTTGTCGGCACTTGCGGTGCGAGCGACAGCGATACTTCGGGTGCGGGGCACTGCATCGCGCGGGCGACGCTCTCGTGCTTGGCCGTCGGCGGAAACGCAAACGCCGTGTGCCCGAGGTTGAGCCGAATGATCTCGCCGCGCTCGAGACTAATGCCCGGCATCATGCCGCTGCGCGCGTCTTCCGATGACGGGTGGAACTCGGCGTAGGCGACGCCGAGGTCGATGCCGTTCCGGAAGTAGCGCATCTCGGACGCATCGAGGTCGAGGAGGCACCCAATAATGTCGCCGGCCTTCCACTTGTCGCCATACGTGGACGACCCCGAGTTCCAGCGGCGCTGACGGTTGCCGTCGTAGCTCCACGAGTGTGCATGATCACCAACGCCTTCACCTTGGTCTGAGCTGCCTTGAAAGTGGCCGTCAATCCAGCCAATTTGAATCAAGCCGGACGTGACAACCTCGACTTCGTAAAACCATGCGCCGCGCGTAAGGCTGACGCCGACCGTCGAGAGGGACCCAAAGTTGCTCAAGCCTTCAATCTCGCCGGACCGGTCAATGTCGATGCGCCCACAGAGCGGAATGACCCAGCTCTGGTCGCTCTTGTCGTCGTCGTCCGACTCTTTCTTGCGCTCGACAATCAACGACGTCGTGTAAAACCCAGCGGCGATGTCGAGGACGCGGCGATGGCTCTTCTCCGGCCGCACCATGAGCGGCACGGGCAAGAGCGAGTCGGTGCTGCCGCGGTTTCCGAGTTGGCCCTTGTTGTTGCGACCAAACGCAAACACGTGGCCTTGCTCGGAGAGAATGACCGTGTGGTAGCAGCCGCACGCGGCGCGCGTCACGCGCACCGTCGGCGCAAGCGTGATGACGTGCGGCATGCTCTGGTGCACTTTTGTGCCAATGCCAAGCTGGCCATAGTCGTTGCGGCCAAAAGCAAAGACGCGCCCGCTGGTTCCGACGACGAGCGAGTGGTAATAGCCGCAGGTAACAAACGCAATCGACTCGTTCGGGATCGACACGAGGCTCGGGATCTTGCTCTGTCGATTGTGGCCCAGGCCGAGCTGCCCATAGTCGTTCTTGCCAAACGTGTAGAGCTCGCCGACGGCCGTGCAGACGATCGTGTGGTACAAGCCGCACGACACCATGGAAACGACGTGACCGTCGAGTGCCTTGACGTGCGTCGGGATGCTCTGGTGCGCGGTCGAGTCGTGTCCGAGCTGTCCGCAGTCGTTCATGCCAAACGTAAAGAGCTCGCCTTTTTCCGTAATCACGGCGCTGTGGTGGTAGCTCACTGCTGCAAACGTCACCTTCTTGTCACGGAGGTGGTCGATGAGCTTGGGCACATGGATCTTGGTCGTGACGTTCTCGTGGCCGAGCTGACCACGGTCGTTGTAGCCCCACGAATATGCCAACCCCGTGTCTGTGACGGCAATCATATGTTCGCAGCCGTTGGACGCGGCGAGAAACCGAACGCGCTGCGAGCGAAGCGCCTCGATTGGCCGGAGCAGCATCACGCGCTCGTCAAAGTGGCCGTGGCCGCACTGGCCACTTTTGTTGAGGCCCGCTGTGAGCACGATGCCGCTGTTGGTGAGAACGGCGAGGATCTCGTTGCCGCTCACGACCTGCCGAATGTCGTCCCAGCCACCGAACGGCACAAGCGTAAGTTGATGGCGTTCAATGTCGTCGCCGATACCGAGCTCGCCGTACGAGTTTTGGCCGCAGCAGTAGAGCTCACCTGATGCTTCACAGATACCATACAGCGACTGCTCTTTGATCGACAAGAGCTTGGAGAGGACGTGGTTGACGTCGAGGGTCGTGGACGGTGACCGCGAGAGCATCCAGAGCACGGACGAGAGCAGGTACGCAAGGGACCCACGCACCAGAGCAAGCTCGGCCAGTGTTGAAATAGTTGTGCGCGAGATCGTGGCCTCCATGTCGCCGTTCGGAGACAAAACAGGCTCCGCGGCCTCGATGAGAAAGTCGCAGAGCTGGTTGAACGACGCACTCGCGCTTGGCGAGAGGTACATGCCGTCGAGGTACGCCATCGGCTTGAGCGTCGCCATGTTGTCTTGGACCATGCGCAGCGCAGAAAGGTACGTGTCGCCGCCTTCGCGCCGCGTTGCTCGCAAGAGCGCGATCGCCATGTCCCACCCGAGGACCATGCAGTTCTGCGTCGGTAGCGGTAGCGGCGGCGGGCTCACCTTGCGCTGGCTCTTGGAGACACTTCGTACCGTAAGGAGCCGCTGCTCGTGCTTGTGCTTTTCCTTCTTGGTCGCAACAGCGAGTTGCTGGAGGTGCTTGACGTACGAGCCAAGACGCACGTCAAAGTCGGACGTGGGGAGCGCGACGGCCGTGGACGGCGTCTCGGTCTCCGACTCCTTCCGCCACATGTCACTCGCGAGCTTGGAAATATGGAGGAAGAGTCCGTTGGTCGTATCGACCGCGTCGACGACAGCCTCGAGCTGCGGTCCTTCCTGGGCCGCCCATCCCCCGGCGGCGTCCGCGTCGGGCGCCCGCGGGGGTAGCTTGGTGAGGCTGGGGCCGAGGTCCAGGAGTCGAAGCACGTCGTTGCTAGCCTCGTCGAGACTTCCGTCGTCCTTCTCGAGCTGCCCCATCTTTGTCGGTGCCCCTTGAGCGAATATTGGAACTAACTGCCCTAGGATCCCCCCAAGATCCATTGTGGTGAATTCCGTGAATATAGCCAATCACGTGCTACAAAAACACACGATTTTATCCAATCCAATCGCAGCACAGGTGAAACGCCCAAGATCCTTGCGATCCATCGCCACCTCCAACCGGCTACAGCGACGCTATCTCGCGCATGTCTTTTTTTCAAACTTGATACAAACACCCTTTCAACCGGCGGCGTCTCACCTCCAGGTCCTGGTACTAGCAGAACGCAACACCACTCGGCCAAAAGCACAAACACGTCGACCCGTATGTACTACATGTCATTTTTCACCCCTCGACGACAAGTCGTTCTACTGCAGGACGTGGCCCAGGAAGCCGCTGAGCGCGTTTGTAAAAGCCATGTCGGGCGTTCGCACCGTGAGGTCCAACCCGCCCGAGCGCACCTTGCAGTGGATCAGACACACCACATCCGAGCTCAAAAGGCGGCCGGCCGCAATGACCTCGTTCGCTACACACAGACCCACCGTCATTAGCAACGCGACAAAGCAGCAGTATCGCTCGCCTACTCTGGGCAATCGACTCGACAGCGTTGATGTCAAACTGGCGGAGGCGCGCGCAAAAGTCGTCGAGCGTCACGATCGAGCTCGGGCTCACCTTAGTCTTGATCTCGGCCGGGCACGAGCCCCAGCGACCGCCAAACTCGGGCGTCGTGATCTGCCACGGCTCGAGCGGGCGCCCATTGTACTGAAACACGGGCGCCGGAAGGCTGCTGCCGAGGCCACCCATCTGAAACGGGTCCGCGACCGGTGCCGGAGCGCTCGCAAACGGGTCGAGCATGGGCGCACTGTTTTGCGGCGCGTACGACGGTGCAACCGGTGCATCAAACGACATGTCGAGAAGATCCATGTGCACAGGCGCTGGCGCCGCTTGGTATGGCTGCTGCGGTTGCACCGGCGTCGTCTCGGGCTTGGTCGATCTCCGCTTCGGTGCCGCCGAGACCGCCGACGCGCCTTTCACCGTGCTCTTGCGCGAGAGCGTGCCACGGGCGGTGCTCGTACGCTTGGCCGCCGGAAGAGGGACGCCCGCGCCCGGAAGGCCGCCAAAGAGTGCGTTGGCCATTTCGGCGCGCTTGTCAATGACCGGCTCGTCCGGCTCCTGGTCCTCGTCGCTCTCGTTGTAGTGCGTGCTGTGGTCGGGCGAGTACGCCGGCGCCGGCGACTGCCCATACTGACCTTGGTACTGGCCCGGGTTGTTGTTGTTGTAGTACGGGTTGTTGGGCTGGCCGCCATACGGTGCGGGTGTCGGCTCGGGCGCGGCCGGCGCGTTCATGCCCGACGGACCCCACACGTTCTTGACCGACGGCTTGCGCGCGTTAAAGCCGCCCGCGTCGGTCGCGTTCGGAGTGCCTCCCCACGGCGCTTGCGCGGCCGCGCCCCCGTACCCGCCGAGCATCGCCGACGGGTCGTTGGGCGGCAGCTTGTGGCCCGCATACGGCAAATCCGGCTTTTCGTACGCCGTAAAGTTGAGCCGCGACTCGTGGTGGCGACCATACGCTTCCTCTTCGTCGTCGTGGGGCGGGTCGTAGCGCGGCGCGCCTTGCGAGAGCGCTTGGTCCACAAAGGCTTGGAGAAAGCTTAGCGTGCTGTCGACGTCGAGGTCTTCGCACGACGCATCGACGGGGTACGTCGTCGCCATGAGCGCCGGGTGCGCGTGCATGGCGAGGTACTCGAGGCAGCGCTGCTGCAAATCGATGCTGCGACTGGTCTTGTACTTCTCCATCATGGCGCGCGCCGCATCAATCTCGCGGCCGTGGAGCTGCGCCGTGAGCTTGGTCACGGCCGTCACAATGTAGCCGCGCGTCATGTCTTCGTTCTCGAACGGCCGGTCCACGAGCTCGCAGAGGCGCTCGGCAATCTCGTCGAGCTCCATCGCCTCCGAGAGGTACCCGTACTCGCCGAGGACCCACGCCATCGTGCACACGAGAATGTCGGGCAGCACAGGCCGTTCGAGGAGCTCCAAGTACGTGTCGACGGCGTCACGGCGCAGCTCCATGTCTTGCTCCTCGTCGTCGCCGCTGCCTTCGGCGATGAGGCGCATGAGGTTGTGCGCGACCTCGACCTTGACGAGCTCGCCCCCGAGTTCAAAGACGTCGGTCATGGTCTGGATGTACCACGCATTGTTGGGCGCGTAGCGCTCTGCGCACTGCGTGATCCGAGACACGAGCTCCGTGCGGAGAAAGACGTCCGTGGCTTCGCGCAGAAAACTCGTGAGCTTGGCGACAATGAATTCCACGTTGACGGGGTTGGTCATGCGGTACAGCAAGTCGAGCGTCTTGCGCTTCAGCGTCTCGTCCGGGTCTTCCAAGCAGTCGATGACGGCCATCTGGTGGGCGGCCGCATACCTACACACACGATAGTATGAGCGGTCGATGCATCATTGATTCGAGTACCGCGGGTGGTCCTTGACGATCGCGGCGAGGCCCGTGACGCCGAGGTACTTGAGGTTGTGGTTGTCGCTCGAGATGAAGCGCGAGATGCTGGCCGCGGCCGCATCCAGAAGCGTCGAGTTCGGGTAGATGGTCGTGACCGTGCGCACGCACTCGTAGATGATCGCGTACCCGACGTTGATGCCCGTGTCGGCGCGGCGCATGACGTCGTGGAGCACTTCGTACATGCCCTCGCTCGTCGTTTGGTCGGCCTGCCCGAGGAGGGCGAGGATCTTGAGGAGGCGGATCTGGATCCACGGCGCGGGAATGCGGTGGTAGTCAAACTCGCGCGGGAGGCGGTGCTCCGTGATCTGCTTGAGAATGCTCACGTACGACGGCACGAGGTCCTTGTACGCGGCGGGTTGACGACGGCCACGTCGTGGAGGAGGCAGAGCGCCGCACCCATGACGCTCGGGTCACGGTCGCAGAGCGTCCGTCGGAGCGTGTCGCCCATGTCGGCGACGCTGTCCGGGTTGAGCTGGTGGAAGCGGTGGAGCGCCATGACCGCCTTCTTCCGGACAAGTTCAATCTCGTGGCGCAGCGCCTCCATGATCATGGGCTGGACGGCAGGAATCATTTCGACCGTCACGAGCTTGCACACAGCCATGAGCGCCGAGCAGACCTCGAGGTGGTTGGGCGACTGCAAGTCGCGCTGGAGCTGGTTGATGATCATAAAGCGAAACTCGTGGGCCGGCGACAGCGTCAGCGAGCACGTGAGGTACCCAACCCGCTTCTGGATCAAGTTGGTCGCGGCCGTCATCTCGACCGCCTTGATGTAGCCAAAGCTGGCGTCGTGGCCGAGCATCTCGACGTACATGAGGCGGATGAGGAACTCCTTCTGCTTCTTCTTGTTGGCCTGGAGCTGGTTCGAGTTGGAGGCCACGCTGAGCTCCGACATCTTGCGCTTGAGCTGCGCGACCTCCTGCACGATGATGCGATCTTCCTCCTGCTTGGACTTGCTCTCGCCGATGCTCTTGACGAGCTCGAAAAAGTCCTTGGAGAGGTGGCTGCCCGACATGCTGGTCGCTGCAGTCACTTGCGCAAAAAACTATACACGGCGATCCTGCGGGCCTCTTCTTTTTTGCCTCGCGGCCAATCAAAGACCGCCTTTCAGCCGCATTTGCACCAATAAGACGTCGCCAGCCAACCCGGCGATCCAACGCCCCGGAAATAGTGTTCAGCCCATTGACGCGACGGTCGCACGCTCAGCTTCAGCTTTGTAGTGAGTGTATTTAATAATACGCATGCCGGGCACGGAGGCAGGAATCGTATGAAAGCAATCCTATAACGTGCATATAAGCTCGGCGCATCGGCTGCTGGAGGCGGCAATCCATTCATGCAGTCGAATCTGGAAGCGTGCGTGGAAACAATGGAGAGCGCAGACCCTTTGCATTACATGCACGTACGCTCCATATCCTTTATGTGCAGCACTAGATCCTTCGTTGGTCCATTTTCATCTACGAGGATGGGACGACCGGCGAAGATGGCGGTTCGAAATCTTGTACAAAACTAGTGTGTAATGCAAATAGTGTGCGCTCGTAACGCTGGTCTGAAGCATGTGTATTATAATACCCAAGCATAAATATGTATACAAACATAGTGTTCGAGTAGCAACAGATGGAATTTAATTTCCGGACAAAGCAATTTCTAGAAATCTCGCATCCTGGAGGCTGGATTCCAAGCAGTGTTGGATTTTGGGGATCTTGGCCTTGACCAGCTCGGCGATCCAGTGAACATGCAAGCCATTGCCCTCTACCTCTACGTCGTCGTGCGCTCGTACTGCGCATGGCTCTGGCTGCGCCTCTGCCGCTGGATCCAGCAGCCGCCCCGCGCGATCCTGCCCACAAGCGAGTACCGCCACAAGATCGTCATCATCGGCGACGGCTTTGCGGCCGGGTATGGCGACTACATCAACTTTGACTCGCCCGGCGGCCTCGCCAAGTACCTCCACGCCGCGATGACTCAAGACGCCAAGGCAAGCAGTGCCCATGACTATTTCATCTCAGCATGATGCGCTAGATCCGCCACAACTGGCAAGTCATCAACCGGGGTATTGTCGACACGGACTCGTCCCAGTGGACACCGATGGCCGACACCAAGGTAGACAAACATGCGTCGCGACCACGACCTCACATGTCTTTAGTACTTTCAAACGGTCTTTTCCAAGAAGGAGTACCGCGACGCCGACATTGTGCTCGTCATCGTGGGCTCCATGGACGCCCAGTACAGCCAAACGCACCGATCCTCGGCACTCAAAAGCAACGTGTCGTAGGCGGTCACCGCCCATTGAGCCCGAGGCAACGCTGCGCAATATCAAGAGCATTTGCGACGCATTGACGAAGAAGGGGAAGCGCGTCGCCGTCGGCACGCTCTGTCACTCGGACATTGCCGCCATCAACGACAAGCACACTGCGACCAACAAGCTTCTGCGCGACTTTTGCGTCGAGTACGTCGATCATATTCTCGGACCGAGGCGTGACCATGGCGTGTAGCACGCAACACGACGAGCTGCCGGTCATGTGCGCCCCGGACCTTGCGATTCCGATGGTGCGCCGCCCAGAGGCCAAGGCGTTTGACGGTGTCCACTTCAACTCGAGCGTACGCACGAGCGCAACGACAGAGATGGCTCATGCTGCAGCGATAGGGCTACAAGCAGATTGCCAAAGACGCCATGGACGTCATCCAGCCGCTGGCGACGGCGGTCGAGTGGACGACGTGGAAAAAGAAGCTCGATGGCATGCATGTCGATCCTGCCTTGTACGATTAAGAAGAAGGCTAATGCCACCAAACTAGTGCACTGCTGTTGGATTGCCTCGGTAGAAACAAGCACGCGAGAGGAGACATTGCGAAACAAACAAGCGCATTCATATACATGGTCCAGGTACACATGCAGGGCGTTCGAAAAGCCGACTAGGGCGCGACTTCGACGGGCTTGCTCGCCCAGTACTGGTCCATTTGGTCGTCGAGGCGCTTCTGCTTCGGGTCCGGGCCCTTTCCTGCCTCAAACCAGTACGTGTCCATGTCCATATCAAGGTCTTCTTCCTTCTTGACCGGTGTCGGCTTGGCGAGACGCTTCACGGCGCCCTGGCGCTTGCCACTTCGCAGGTTGTTGATCTTGACACCGCCCTTGGTGCGGCTCAACGACGGCTTGGCCAACGCAGCCGTCTGCTTGGCCTTGAGCTGCTGCTTGGCAAGCGGCGCGGGCGCAATGCCGCGGCGGGCGTTCACAGTGTTCTGGCGCTTCGCTTTCTGGGCCGCGCCGACGACCACGGCCGCCTTCTTCTTCTTCTTGGGCGCGGTGTGTGCTGGCGCCGCATGCAGCTGCGTGAAGCGCTCCGAGAGGGGCACGGAGGCGACGCCAATGAGGTCCGACGTCTTGGGGACCCCCTTGCCGCGGGGCGCGGCCTTCTTCGGTTGGGGGCGCTTGGGGGTTTGGGCGCGTCGACCAGCCATCGTTTTGTTCAGTGTGCTTTTCCGAATGCAGCGCCGCAGAAAAAATCGAAAACAGTCGGTCGTATTACGTCTTTTTCGACCAATTCCTGGAAAAATACGGTATATTTCAGGTTGAAGTTGACAGCGCACGCTACGTCTCGAGGTAGTAGGCAAAAGCGTCGTCCTCGGACGCCCGGGCCTTTCGGGCCGCAAACACAGCAAGTCCTGATACGCACACACACAACGCCAGCAAGACAGCGCCCGAGCGCGTCATGCTTGCGTCATAAAGCGACGCGAGCGACGTCGACGTGTAGCTCGACACGGACGTCGCACAACTCCGCAGCGCCTGGGCGACGACCTCGGTTGTGGACGCTTGGGCGGTGAGAAGTGCGTACGCCTCTGGGATCGGACACATGGCGGATTTTCCATCGCAAAAGACGTTGCCGTCGCAGACGGTCTGTTTGTGGTAGCACAGCGAGTCCACGTCGAGGTATTTGTCGACGCAGGCGCCGTTGCCGTCGCACTTGTCGTCGCCGTCGCACGCGCCGCCAGTGGACGTGCCGCTGCACGACTTGGTCGACGGTGCAAAAGCGTTCTTGGGACACACGCCCGCGTTGCCAGGGCATACTTCAGGCACATCGCACTCGGACGCCGCGGGACGGCAGACGGTACCCGCCGGCTTGAACGTCTCGGCGCAGGAGCCGCGGCCGTCGCACGTGCTTTTGTCGTTGCAGAGACGATCCGACGAGAGGCCAATCGACGTGCACTCGGTGCCTTTCTTCGCAAAGCCGTTGGGCGGGCAGACGCCGCTCTTGCCAGAGCACGTCTCGGCCACATCGCAAACGTTGACCGCCGCACGACACACGCCACCTGCGGCGCGGAAGCCATCGACGCAGCACCCGCTACCGTCGCAATAGTCGACGCCATCGCAGAGACCTCCGGTGGATTTGCCAATATTGGTGCACACGGTAGTCTTGGGCGCGAACGCATTGACGGGGCACATGCCGCTGGCACCGGTGCACGTCTCGGCGACGTCGCAGACACTCGCGGCGGCGCGGCACACGCTGCCCTTTGGTTTGAACCCGTCCATACACTTGCCGCTGCCGTTGCAGAAGTCGACTCCATCGCAGAGGCCACCGGACGACTTGCCAATTGCGGTGCACACGGTGGTTTTCGCTGCAAACGCGTTGACGGGGCAGGCGCCGGTTTTACCAGAGCATGTTTCGGCAACGTCGCACACATCAGTCGCGGCCCGGCAGACGCTGCCCTTTGGCCTGAAGCCATCGACACACTTGCCATTGCCGTCGCAGTAGTCGACGCTATCGCAGAGGCCACCAGAGGACGCGCCAATGGATGTGCAGACCGTCTTCTTGTTTGCAAATCGGTTGGACGGACAAAAGCTGCAGCTGCCATCGCACATCTCGGGCACGTCGCAGACGTTGGCGGCGGGGCGGCACATATGCGTCGCGGGCTTGAATGCGTCGTTGCACTGCCCGCCGGCGTCGCAAAAGTCGTTGGCGTCGTCGTCGCAAGGGCCCTTGTTCAGCTTGCCCCTGCCCGGACACTTGGTGCCATGCGGCTGCTTTTCGTAGGCACACGAGTCGTAGAGGCACTGGACGATGTAGCACGGTTTGACGACGCAGTCGGCTTGCTTGGAGCATGCGTTGGAGCCGTAGCCGCCGTAGCCACTGTAACCGCCGTAGCCACCGTAGCCACCTTCGCCAGCAGCGGCCAAGACGACGGGCACGAGCGCGCTCACGACGATCGCAATGCAGCGCATGGCTGGCAAATCGACAAGTGTCGACGCTCGATGGTGTTTCAACGCGGGGCGAAACGGACCAAGACGATCGCTGAAGTTTCATAACCTGCAATCGAGACGGCGAATCACTATACGTAGCCCCGTGAGCGTCGCCTGTAGCTTCGAAGTCCCTTGGGTGTATCCCAGCGGTAGAGTCTAGCGTGCCGTCAACGCACGGCTCATTTTTCCAATGCGTCTAAAAGCAAGCGTGTACTACGTAGTAGCTGTACAAACAGTCATTTTGACGAGTGCACCAGCATATCTCTCTCTCCAACTGTCTGTGTCAGACCAGCGTTGTCGAGAAGGCCTGAAGTGGGCGCCTACAAGATGGATGCAGCCCGAGTCGAGTAATGTCAACGAGGAGGAGCGTGTCGACAACGTTAGAGGACACATTCAGTTGCACCGCAAGCAGCCAAGGTTTTTATATCTCTTGAGCCAAGTGCACGCAACGACTTGGTTGTGCTAATACATTTACCAGAGCAAGGTGGCCGGTAGGAAATGGGAGAACACAATTCGGACCACGTCCGTCGGGAAGCGCGCGAAAACCTGCGACGATCAAGTTGATCGTCGCACACACCCGCACTTGATCATCAAGTGCGGGTGGCGTGGGATCTGTAAAGTGCGACATCGCTCGTAAAGGTACGATTGCTAGAAAACTGGGTGCAATCCTTTAATCTGCCGGTCGCACTTAACAGCCCAGCTCTGTCGCAATCGGATTGGTGCAAATGTAGCCAATCAGTACGTCAAATTGTTGGAATGCAATTCTTCGCTGAATCTTGACCGTGTTTTTAACGGGATTTACGGTGTTTTTGCTAGGAACACCGACCGAATCCAAGACAAAGATGCAGTGTGGCGGCTGCGCCAAGTCCCATGACCAGGTCTACCTGCTCTGCGCCAACTGCACGTCGAGCACGATCCAGCAGAAGCGCACGATGCTGACGGCGCTACGGGCCGACGTCGCTGTGCTCCGCGAGAAGGCTGCGTCGTCGCTCAAGGACGACGTGCATGCCGAGCCCGACGACGACGACGACGTGCTGGCGCAGGACGAGGCGCGCGACGAGGCCGAGCTCCTCGCGCTCAAAGGCGCACTCGACATTGGTATAGCATTCTGCACCGCCAAACATGCATTGCCAAGACGACCTTAGAGCGCATCAAGCTCGCCAAGATGTTGCACATGCTCGGGAAGCGGCGCGATCTCCTCGCGCACACCAAAGCGCGACTCGCCGAGACGGTACCCGCCGACGCAACCGACATGGACTTTATCATGCAAGGTCTCTACCGCGTCTCGCGCTGGAACGAGCAGGTTCTCCTCCGCTGACACTCCTCCTTTGCATCACTTTGCGACGTAGAACCTCGTGGCCGTGCGGCGCACCAAGGTGCTGCAGCTGCTACAGCTCGTCAAGGTCATTCCCGCGGACAAGTCGGCTTTCTTTCGCACAATCATGCACCTGCCTCTGCCCATCTCGGGGCGCTTCGAGGGTCTCCCGCCGGACGTGGTCGCCGCCGGCCTCGGCCGCATCATCCACCTCCTCCTTGTGTTGCCCAAGTACTTGAGCCCGCTCGTTTACCCGTACCCGATGGTGCACAACGGATCCATGTCGACGATTGGTCGCGAAACGAGCGACGAAGGCGCGGGCTGCCACACTTTGTACCCGGACGGCAGCCTCGGCTTTGGGCGCGCAACGCAGATGCTCCAACACAACGTCCTCTACCTCTGCGTCTCGCAGGGCATGCTGCTCTCCGACTTGCACCCTTCCGATATGCTTGGCAACCTCGTCGCGCTCAGTGAACACCCCGAGCTCGGCTCGTGCGTCGCGCTCGAGTCTGAGCTAAATGCGTACGTCGACGCAAGTATGACGTCGTGGTTTTGATGCGACGTGCTGACGTAGGTTGCGTCAGCAGCAGAGGACGGCGACGCCCCGCGCGTCGACCAATGACGCGACGCTCATGGACCACGTTTTGCCGTCGTACGCCGAGCCGTCGCGCAATCAGACACCGGTATGGTCCACGTCCATGATTGACGCATCGCTCGTCACGCAACGCCGCAGGTGCTCACAGCGTCGATGCTCGATTGGAACGTCATCGACCCGCGTGCGCTGCCAACGAAGCGAGACATGTAGCCAAAAGGATCAAGAATATATGGAATGGGGTGCGAAATGTGGCGTCTAGCCGAACGGCGTCATGGGCGCCTGGTGACTGGTCATGCCCTCGTCCTGCGAGAGCTCGAGGCACTGGTGCTTCAGTGACGAGAGCTTGTCCTTGATGATATCGAGCGCGCAGATGACCACTTCTTCGGGCTTGAGCTGGCCCGTGGTCTAGAATAGCATTCATCATGAGATGAGAGCGTGATGACGAGGATCGTGGTCCTGCCTCGACGGAGAAGATAAACTTGTCGGGCGTCATGGTCACGGTCACGGCCGCGTCGTCTTCCGGGTTCTCCAAGTAGCTCTCCGCAAGCTTGACGCACTCGTCGCAGTACATGCAACGCATGTGATCTTCGACTTGGATCTAGAGTATGGAAGTAGCCCCGAGTGCGGCAACGTCATGCATGGCCTACCTGGTCGTACGTATCATCAATCTCAAAGACACGCGTCGGGCACGACTTGTAGAGCTCGACGCGTTGCTCGTTCGTGTACGTGCTGAGGACCTCTACAGTGCAAATTGCATGAGCTTCGATCGCATTGGAAGCGACAGCGTACTCTGGTTGAGCGTAATGATGGGCTCAAACATGTACGTGGCGACAGCGACGGGCGACCACTTGGCATGCTCCTTGCCGATACCCTATACGACAATATGAGAGCACTGCATCGATCGAGCATTTTTGCCGTACGAGCTTGGCGAGTGCGTTCAATTTCAAGCGCTGGCCCGGGCCCAGCTTGGCGATGATGACGCCCGAGTCTTGTGTGTTGTTGAGCTCCTCTTCCGAGCTAAAGTGCACCGGATGCACATACGGGTCGAGCGACCGCAGCGACTGCGACGTCACGGTCTGCATGCCCGACTCGGCGCGCACGTCCAGCTCGAACTCGACGCTGCAGTGCGGGCAGTGCTCGTCGCAGTCGCAGTCGGCCGAGTAGACGAAGCGCTTCTTGAAGCCCTCAAGGCCGCCATCAAAGGCCAGCGGGATCATGCCCAGGCGGTGCGCGAGGAACTCGTCCGTGATGACGCTCGTGTTGATCTCAATGCTCACAAGGTCGATGGCGAGCGTCGGGACCTCGGCGATCATGACGCGCCGGATCGAGTTGGCGACGCTCGTGTCCGTCTCGCTGAGCTCGAACTTGATGAAGTCGTCGCGGAGCTCCTGGATGTCGATCTTCGGGAAGCGCGGGTGGGGCATGCTCGTCGTCCGCTCAAATACTGAGATGAATTCGAACGCTGCGCAACAACCAAATAATCTGCGTGCGTACCCCGGGGTCCACACGCTTTATCGCCCTGTGCCCCGGGGTCTTTACCACATTATTTGCACACGTCGTTTTTTAAAACACACAGGCGTGTGTTTTCGGTAGAAAAGCCGGGGTTGAAGTACGCGCTGATTGGCCAAGCCGACGCTTGATCTCTATATTTTTATTCGGTTGCATTCGGTCGACGCCGACGACGCCCACAAGCACAATGATGCTGGACACTAGTGCTATGCGTAGCAGTACATAGCTGGGTATACCAGGACAATGACAAGGTAAATCAAGCGCCATGAGCTACGCGCAGCCCTTTGCGGCTCGTGGGCGACGAAGCGCTTGGAGTACCAAATGACCGTACAATATTTAAATGGCTCGAGCGGATCGTGGCTGCAAAATCACCGAGAAATCACCGGGGTTGTCGCAGGCCACGATGATGTGATGGTCGCCGGCGCCGAGGACGCGAGCGCCGCATTCAAAGCACTGGTGCGTTCAAGGACCGCAAGGAACGCCTTGCCTTAAAGAACCATTTGCATGGGAGCAGGTGTCGGGCCACCAAGGCGTGCAGGCCCGCACGTGGCGCATGTGCGCCTTGCCCTTGAGCTCAACGTGATTTTTCACATTTTCCACAGGCCGACACCCGCGACCGCGTTCTGGGCCATCAAATTTAGATCCAGATCCCTTTGCACGCCGACGACGCAAGCCGAAGCATGGACCCGCTCATTGCGCTCGAAGACGTCGACTTTGGCGCGACCGGGACGTTTCCCATGTACCAATACCGCCAAGCCCAGTTCAACCAGCTCTGCCTCGGCGCCAACTCGACCCACCAGGACGCGACGGGCCTCCGCGTCTACGCCGGCGCCCACGTCCTCGCGCGCTTCCTCGGGTCGACACCGGGCCGCGCCCTCTTGCATGACGCACGCCTCGTCGAAGTACGATATACGCCATCTCTCTATCTGGCCACTCACACGATGGCTAGCTGGGGTGCGGTACCGGTGCGGTGGGGTCCGTCACCGCCGTCACGGCGTCCGTCAAGAAGCTTCTCGTGACGGACGGCGACGCGCGAGCGGTGGCACTCGCACAGCGCAACGTCCAACACACAGTGCACGCGGCCAAGCCGGCCTTGGACACGTCCGCATCTCAGTTGCTATGGGGGCCCGGGCCGTCGACGGTCGGCGACTTTGACATTGTCATCGGGTGCGAGCTCATGTACTACAAGACCAACCTCGACGCGCTCCTCGCGACGGTCCTTGCACTGGTGGATGCTGCGAACGGACTCTTCCTCCACGCGCACCTCTTTCGGAAAGACGAGCACGACGCGGACATGACCGCCTTCTTGACCAAGGCGGGCTGGGCGACGCTCGCCGTGCCCGTGCCGAGCTTTGTGCCGTACGAAGAGATGCGGCTGTGGCCCAACTGGCTCAACACGTGCTGCTTGGTCTCTGGCCCAAAGGCGCGGATCGCTGCGCTCGCCATCGCCCACCCGAAATGGCGTCCGTTTGTGGACGTTGCGACAACGCTCGAGCTCAACGAGCGCGCCGCCGATGCGCAAGAGGCTGCAGAGGCGACCGCGAGTGACACGGACAGCGACGATGGTGTCGGCGGTCTCTTTGGGTAGATCGATTACAGTGTATAGATAGAGAAGTTTCTACGTGAAATCTTGTGTTCCGCTTCAGCACATGAACCAGCGATCCACCCTGGATCCACGTGCCTGCGGGCGTCAAGGGCCTTTCCCAAAGAGATGCGATGTCGCAAGATGGGGCTGCTTGACAAGACGCACCACCAGCCGCCTGTGGGTTGGAGTGCCGGCGACAACGACCGACCTCTGGGATGGTTCCGCCACACTTCTTCCTCTGCGATGTCAACGCGGAAAGATCAATACAGCAACGACGTTTCATATGTCGTCCTATGCAAGTCGATATGCAGCAGGCCTAGTTGGACCCGAGGGTGCGGCCTGAGCCCCAGTTGTAGCGTGAAGGCCCCGTGGCTTCGGCGCCCGCGCGCTGCTGGGCCGGCGGCGCACCGTACACGGGACGCGCCGTGGACGGGAAGCAGTTGATCCTACGCAACGGCGTCAGGCCTCGTGGCCGAAACAACTTTGGTGGTACAAGATCTGGGGCGTCTTGAGAAGCGTGATGCCCTTCGTGTTGGGAAGGATTTCAAGGAAAAAGTAGTAGACGTGGCCGGCAAAGAGACCCGCGAGCTGCGGCAGCGGGTCGTTGCCCGTGAGGAGCGTGAACGCGATCATCGCCCACGGGAAGTAGAGTGCTTCAAACTTGAAGCCCCAGAACGACACGAGTTGCGTCGGGTTCTTACGGCTCCACATGTACAGGATCATAAAGATCATGGGCTCGCCGAGGAAGATGTAGCCCATGAGCGCGCCCACCACCTAGCGCACGTAAGCTCCCATCGCTGCAGCGTGGCCATCGTACCCAGAGCACGGACGCGCCGCAGAGCATCATGAACGCAAAGTCGGCCGTGGGACCGCCGCCGGCGACGAACGGGTCGGCCTCGAGGCGGCTGCCATACTGGCCGCTACAGAGACGTGAGCGGCGAGGCCATGTACGGCGACGTACAGCAGGAGGAGGCAGACGAGGAAGTGGAAGCTAAACTTGCCGACGTAGCAGAAGCACGTGACGAGGCGCCAGATATGGAACTTGTAGACGACGAGCTCGAGGTCGAGGTAGATGGAGCGCGGGTTGAGCATGCCAAACTGCGTCAAGCACGTGGCCGCAAAGCACGTCGTGAGGTAGAAGCGCGTGACCTGCGGCAGGCCGTTGTACCAGGCTTCGGGCGACGACATGGTCCGCGACAATTGGAAACTACTCGTCGCTTTATTTTATTAAAAATACGCCGCAACCACCGCACACGTGGCAGCATCCGGACGCCGGCGGCTTGGCGCACGCAACTTTTTTTCTCGGAGCCGACGGTAAGAACAGCTACTTGGTGGCATGGTGGCGTTGAAGACACCTGCATACAGCAATGACGATGCGGTGCAAGAGCTTGCGCGATGCCAATGGGCGCACTACCACGCCATCACTCGCTGCACGTGGCACCCATTTATGGTCTTGGTGGCACCAATGCATCGGCCCCCGTGCAATGCACTCTGAGAATGGGGCGGGCTCAAGAGCACCGGCGCTGGCTAGGGTGCGATCGTGTCAGCTCTGTGCTTGGTGTCGCTTGGCCAGCATAAGCCTAGGACAGAGCCAACCGCGCTCCTTTATGAGGTCCTTGCGCCCTGTGTCCTGCATGCACTGTTGTATTCGTTGGCGCGGCCGCTTGCTTGACACGCGCGATCTTTTTTGGTCCGATTTTAAAAATGCGGCGGCGCCATAAAATAAATACGACCATTGTTGTCTCGTATCCATTAGGCCTCGCGAATAATAATATACGATGGCGAGCATGTCACTGCCCCCGCGACGATGGAGGCGAAGCGGCGCAAGGTCGATCGGGGCACGAGCCTCATGGACGTGCTCAAGGCCCATGGCATGCGCGTTGTCGATGGCACCAAACTCAATATGGTCGGAAAGGCCATCGACGTCATCGGGCCCGTTGTGGCCTCCGTCGCGCGCACGACCACGTGCTTGTATCTGAGCCAGAACAACCTGGCTTCGCTCGCCGGCCTCGAGCAGTTTGGCCACCTCAAGATGCTTTCGCTTGGCAGCAATCTCATTGTGCGCTTTGACGAGCTCGCGCACATCACGTCGCCACCTCTCAAGACGCTCCACCTCGTCGGCAACCCGATATGCGAGGCGCCCAACTATCGCGCGCGCGTGCTGCAGATGCTCCCGACGCTTTCTGTGCTCGACACGCTCGAGATTTCGGCTAAAGAGCGCCAGCTCGTGCCTTTTCTAATCGCCCAAGACGCGTCACTGCGGCAGCTCCTCGCGGAGAACCACGGCGCGATCACGCGCCTCGAGTGGCTCGTCCAGCGCATTGCACTGCACAAGGAGTTCTACATGGTGGTATATGGCTCGTCGCCGCTGCCACCGCTCGAGTCGATGGCCGTCAACGTCGACCTGCTCCTCCGGCTCTGGAGTCAGAACGCACCGGCGGCGCACGACGCGACGACCGAGCGCCAACTGGAACGCATGGTCGTCCGGGCGTACGAGAAGCTCCAGCAGTACCCGCTGAAGAAAGCCAAACTGCTCTTGCAAAAGCTGGGGCCCGCGGCGAAAGAGAAGCTCAAGTCACTGGCGACGCCGGCCGCACCGTCGTGGGAAGACGCGTACGCGAGCGTTCTCGCCGTGCAGCAGAACACGGTCGCCAAGCTCCGAGGCCTCTGCGAGCGCAACCGGCGCGACCTCATGGACGCGATCAAGTCACTGCTCGTGACGCGTCACGCCACCACGCCGGTCTCGGATCGCTTAGCAGCACCGGTGGCAAAAGTACGTCGCCACGACGGGGGCGAGGACGTCGCACGGTGTGACGACGAGTGGAGGCGATCGCGGCGGAGTCGATTGCCGCCGACCGGCGCGCGCTGCGGCGACTTTACCGACATGACGCTGAGCGAAGCTGTCAACAAATTTGAGTTTCGACACCTCGACTCGATCGCGCAGGTGAGAGCCCAGCGCCAGGTCAGCCCCCCGCGGCGCCATCGGCCGCCGAAAGCGCAGGCAAAGGCAAGCGACAATATGGACGACGACCTCGAAGACCGGGAGGCGGTGCTGCGGCTTCAGATGCAGCTCATGGAGCAGTCGCTGCACGAGCGCGACGCGCGGACACAGAGCCAGGAGCGCGAGCGTGCGCTCGAGATCCAACTGCTCGAGTACGAGCATCAGATTCGGCGGCTGCGCGACATGGGGCACGGTGAGCCGGTGCGACCGCCCACCGAGATCTTGTTGCCCCAAGCGACAGTCGTGCTGCCGACATACCAGCGGCCTCGCTTGGTGCCATCCGTGTCAAAGGGGGACAACCTCGCCGAGGATGAAGAGAGAGCAGACATGGTGTACACATCGAGCGCTGGCCCTTCCTCGATAGCGTCGGCCGCGCGTACGCCTGCTCTAGCGACGACGACACAATCGATGACAGCACCCAACATGCACACGGCTTCGGCGACAGAATTTACCACGTCTGCGACATCCCACCGTCGCTTGTCGCAGCAGCGGTCCGAAACACCCGTCGACGACGCGAGCCTCGACGACGCAATTGAATGCGAGCGCTCGCCCGAGACGCCGACAGTCGTCGCACCGACCATAGCCCGACGAGCCAAGCCTTTGAGAGACCGTGGTGCCATTGCCGAGAGCGCCCGAAGCAATCGGCATGTACGTGCAGCGAGCCACCTCTCGGACGACGATGACGTGGCCCCTCCAAAGACAAGTACCACGTCGTCGAGCGCCCATATACCTCCTGGAAAGGTCGCCCGATTGAGCCATGGTCGCGCCGCGCCGCCGCCACTGGCCATCGACCCCTGGCATTCTCGCGAGCCATCACATATGGAGAGCGAGCACGGCAGCCCGCCGGCGCCGCGCGCGACGATGTTCTTGTCCGACATGACACCGGCACCGCGCTTGTATCCTACCCATCAAGAACGCTATTGCGTCCCCTCTCTCGCGTCACCGACGCACAACACGTCGCGTCTGTGGCAGTCGAAATTGCAGCGGCTCTTGCGTGGCTGGCGTCACTGGTGTCGGCGGCAACAGCGCTGCAATGCGCTCTTGGCTCGCTGCGTAGCGTTCCGCGCCCAGCGCGCCTTTGCGGCGTGGAAGAGCCATGCGGCGACGCATCGACGTGCGGCGCACTACGCGCAGCAGCGCCTTTCCCAGGTTGCGGCCGCCTGCTTCGAGCGTTGGGCCAACGTCGGGCGGTTTGGCGCCATCACAAAGTTTGCGTATACCCGCCGCGCGATCGCCCGTCTGCAGCGTCTCTTTCAAAAGTGGCAGTCGTTTGCCACACAGCGGGCGGTCGTCCGTCGCGCCCAAGCCACGTCCCGTTGCCGGGCCGAGCGCCAGTGCCTCCGGACATCCTTCGCCGCGTGGCGCCATGTGTCGCGCCTGTACGTCTTGCAGCGCCGCCACCGCCGGTCCCTCCAGCGCAGTCACGACCATCTTGTTCTCTACAAGCGCTTGCACCACTGGCACCTCTTTGCACAGAGCCAACGCCGCCCCCGCATCGCTATCGAGCACTCGCTGCTCTCTCGGCGAACACAACGTACGCTCGCACGGACATTGCATGCGTGGCGACAGCTCCAGCGCGCGCTCGTGCTGGCCAACGACATGCGGCGGCAGGCGCACTGGCGCCTCTGGCAGGTACGCGGCTGCGATCCTCCCTCTTGATGATGATCGCGGGCGTAGCGATTCCATGCCAATGCACTGGCAGCGGGCCACCGCCGTCGTAAAGCGACACGCTTTTGTCTGCGCAAGATCGTCGCGCACTGGGCAGCCACGAGCGTGGATGCGCGCGATGCGAGCCGCGCGTCGCAGATCGCATGCCGCCACGCGACGACCCACGGTATGAAGCGATCGTGGCGCTGCTGGGTGCTCTACACGTCCCGCCGGAAAAAGTACGTGCTCGGGTACCTCAAGGCGTACAAGCACCACAGTACGAAATTGACGCGAAAGGTGTGGCGCGTCTGGGGCGCGGAAGCCGTGCTGCACCTGCGCCACCGACGCGCGCACAAGCAAGCGCAGCTCCGCAAGGTCTTTCTTGGGTTACGCCACATGGTCTTTCTCGCGCGCGAGATGCGACGCCGCGACAGCAACCTGCGCAAGCTCGCCGCGCGCATGCAGCTGTCTACTGTCGTCGGACATTGGCACCGGTGTCGCACCACCTCTATGATAGCGCAGGATGATGTCATGCACGATTGCGTAGATGGCGGCGCTGGGCGCGCCTCCAAGGACGCACGAAGCGACTCGTGGCCCTGGCTGCTCATCAGTCGCAATGGCGCGTGCAGACGCGATACTGGTCGCACTGGATGGTTCGCCACGCCGTAGCGCGCAGTGCGCACATGACAGCACTCGAAGACGCGACACGCGAGGCACAAGACGCCGAGGACGCGGCGGCCGACACAGTGCGCGCGCTCCAAGCGACCAACGAAGCACTTCTCGCACAGATCGCGTCGTTGGAAGCAACGCTAGCGACCAAAGACGCGGCCCTCGCTGACGCCCATTCGATCGGTGTCGAGAAGGACGTTGCGATTTCACATCTGCGCGACGAGGTGGCGAAGAGTGAAAGGCAACAACGAGAGCACGAGACGCTGCTGCATCTACAGGCACAAGCCCACGCCCGCGACCGAGATGAAATGGACGCCGCGGTGCAGGTCCACGTACAAGACGTCGAACGGCTCCAGCGCATGCTGCTCGACGTCAAGCACGAGCTCCTGGCGACCTCGACGCAGCTCGAGCGCGAGAAAGAAGCCGTGCGCCGCCACACCGAACAGCTCGCGCAGCAAAACCGAAGCACCGCGGCGCTCCACGAGCAGCTCGCGGCGATGGAAGCCGCGGCGCAGACAACGCAGAACCTTCTCGCCACCGAGCGCGCCGAACGCCAAGACGCGGCCGTGCGCTGTCACGAGTACGAGCGGCGCCTCGCGCAGACGTGCCGCGATATTCACACGCGCGAAGAAGACACGGAGCGAGAGCTCCAGCATGCGCGCGAGACTGCGTATGCGAGTGACCAGCAGCGCCTGGCTGTCGACGCCCGCAACGCCGAGCTGCTCAAGCTCCTCCACGAGAAGAACGCGCACGTGGCCGCGCTCTCGTCTCAAGTCGAGAGCCTCCGCAGCAGCGAGGCAAGCAAAGTGACGTCCCTTCTGCAGGACGTGCAGGCGACGATCACCAAGCCATCGATCAGTCGCAGCAACCAAGAAGTGGCGCTTGATACAGAGTTGGCGGCCCTTGACGTGCACACGAAAAGCATCCATGATGACATTCGGTCGCTCCAGGACAGGCTACTGCAGCGCCTGCACCAGGCACCGCTGCATCCTGCGCCGCTCCACGCAGCCGCGACACCGCCCAAGCCAAAGCGTCGCGTCAAGCCCAAGACCACTTTGGCGCCAGCGCGCAGTAGCCCCAAGCCACCACTGTCGCTGTCCAAGAGACTGCTCTAGCGTTTGCCAAATGCTCAAAATGATTGCGTTGGCAAGCTTTATAAAGCGGCGTTTCGTGTAAAGATAACGGCGCAGAAAGGCGCGGCGATGGAGCCACGAGGTGGGTTGCGGAGAGGATGTACCGCGATGCTATCGGCGCGTGGTAGAGCCGCGGCTACGGGGCATCCCGGAAGGCTCGACACGCAGTATTCTTCAGTTTGGTCCGTGGGTCGACTTTATTCTGTACCTGCTCATGTCGGCGTAGATACCAAATGGGGGGCAATTCCCCCCGCGGAGCTCGAGATCATTCGCATGAAGAAGGAGTCGCAGTCCATGTTTGCGAAGCGGACGCGCCCCCCGAATGCGCCCCACAGCCTTGGCGACGTACCGCTCTTTGTCCCGACCGAGCACCTCGAAGACGAAGCTGTCAAGACGCACGACCCTGGTGCGGTCGAGGCGTGGGTCAACGCCCATCTCCTGCGCGGTGCGATCCAGTTGATCCCGCTCTCGGGCTCGTATGTGGCCGACGACGCGTCGCACGATGCGAAGAAGCAAGCGCTCCTGTACCAGAGCAAACTCGAGTACAACGATATCCAAACGATCTTTTCGCCGCCCGAGAAGAGCCCGCTCGAAGGCGCGGGCATTGACTCGGGCTCGCTTCTTCGCCTTGGCATGCCCAAGGCGATTGTCGACCGTATTTTTCGCGGGCTCTTCGTGTATTCGAGCGGGTTTCATACGCTGATCCATGAGATTGGCCGCCACTGCCCCGCGTACGCCGAGTCGCACATTGCGGCCAACATTTGGCTCACGTTCCTGCACTTGCTGGAAAAGTGCGAAGACGGCCGGTACGAGATGGCCATGCTCAAGTTCAACCACGCGACGGCGGTCTGGAAGCAAAATGCGATCCGCGAGTACGAGCTCCAGACGTCGACCTTGCAAGCGGCCATCGTCGCGGCTCACGTCGGTCCTTCCGACTTCCTTCCCAATTGAAACCATCGACTGTCGCTAGGCAGAGACACACGCCGAGCGGGCGATCGTGGCCGAGCGTGTCGCGGAAGTCACCAGTCGGGATGCGACCATTGCCGCCTTGCAAGCCGAGGTACGGATTGCTCTCGCAGTGTGTCAAGTGTCATGTCCTGGAACAGTTGCAAGCCGCGCACGAGGCCACGGCGGCGTCTGACGACCTCGTGCGCCTCGCCAACCTCGAGATTCTCGAGCTTGAAAACACGGTGGCCGCAACGCGCAAGGAGCTCGCGGACACGAGCCAATCGCTGCACGTGGCGTTGGCGGAAAAGTCCAACCTCCAAGGCGAGTTGACGGGGTACATCCACGAAGTAGGCTTGCATTTGGCCACTGTAAAAGACTGATGGCATCCTCGGTAGCTCCAAAACGTCGACGATTTCAAGGCCAAGGTCGACGAGCAAAAGACGCGCGCGGCAGACCGCATGCGCGAGCTCCAAGCCGCCAACCAAGCGATCATGGACGAGCTGGACCTCGCCAAACGCGACATCAAAGCTGGCTCCATCGAGCGGCTCAAGCACCACGCTGCACGAGAAGTGCTTGCGCTCAGCAACATCAAGCTCGAAGCCAAGGTCGCGTCGCTCTCCGCCGAGCTTCACACGGCCGTCACGGCCCTCGCGGCCAAGACGAGTGCACTCGACGAAGCTGACGCAACTGTGCTTTCGCTGAAACAAGTCATGGAGAAGGACCGCGGGGCGTGCGCATCGTTGACCGCCGACGTCGCGGCGCTCACGTTGCAAATTGGACAGCAAAAGCGGGACTACATGGTGCTCGAAGCCCAGGCGCAGCTGCTCTTGATGGAGAAGAAGAACAACCATATGCGCGAAGGCGACCGGCTCCGCATCGAGCGCCTCCTGAACAAAAAGGTCGAGCTTGAAAAAGACATCGAGTCCATGCGCATCGAGCGAGAGAAGAGCCAAGAGCACCTCTGGAACGTCCGCGCGAGCCTCGAGTCGGTCGAAAACGAGTTGCAGCTCGCCAAGCGCGCGTTTGCGACGAGCCAGACGTCGCTGCAGCAGCTCGACAAGGTCAACGATCAGCTGCGCAGCCAAATCGCCGAAATGGAGCGCAACGTCGAGCGCATGACCATCGGGTTTATATTGCTATTCGGGACAATAGTTGTTCATTTACGTAGGTTCAACGCGATGAGAGACCGGTGCACAGTCGTCGAAGACGGCGCGAAAGCGTCTGTCGACAAAGTGGAGCTCGAGCTCAAAGTGGCCATGTCCCAGATGCGCGAGATGGCGTACACGCGCCGCGAAAATGAATGCCAGATCCACGACCTCGCCAAGGCAATGTATCAAGTTGATACAACAACCCACTCACGCGTCTTGTAGACAATCGAGGCCAACCACATGGAGGTCAAAATCCTCCATCAACGCCTCGAGCAGCAGGACAAGATCATTCGCAACATGACGGTCGAACGGGACGCTCTCGTGCGGGAGAAGCGCGTGCTCCAGCTCGAGTCCAACGCCAGTCAGTTGGTCATGTCGCAGCTCAACAAGTCCACGACCGGGCTCATGGACCGCATCCGAAAGCACGAAGTCACATTTGACGAAGCCATTGTCGAGCTCAAGGGACATTACGAGCACGCGTTCGCCTTTGGCCATGGCCATCTCGAGGCATCACTCGGGAGCGGTGACGGCCAGCACGTGTCGCTGCCGAGCAAGTCGGCGGCCGACGTCATGCACAAGAGCGTCGTCGCCGTCATGGTCAACCATTCCATCTCTTCGGCTTTCCAGCTTGACTTTTGTAGGCGCTGATGGACATGCGGCACGAGAACCCGGCCTTCTCGACGACCAAGCGGCGCCACTCGCTCAAAGGGCATGAGCTCAAGGTGCAGTGCGAGTACCGGATCGTCGAGCTCGGGCAGGAAATTGCACGGCGCGAGGCCGAGCGCGTCGAGCTCTTACGGCTCGTCGCCCAGCGCGACGAGCACCTTTTGGAGGAGAAGCAGCGCACGCAGGTCGAGATTGGTCGTCGCAACATGCACGCCGAGCGCAGTCTCTTGGTGCTCGAGGACTTTGCCGCGCGCTTGCTGCGCTTCCGCGCGTACGAGCAAGCGACGACGCGCAAGATCATGGACCAAGAATTCGAGCTGTACCAGTACAAGCACCGCGTCGCCAACCTCCGCGACCGTGTCGCGATGCTCAAGCTCATGCTCGACCAAGTACGTTGCCCCATCTCATGGCTCGTATCGAAGTGAGGCGTAGAGCGGTATGGCCGAAGAAGATGCCAGCGGGTACCTCACGATCGAGAAAATTCGGTTCATCACGCGCGTCGACGAAGCGATCCAAGCTGTCGAAGACATGGCCGACGGCAGCACGCAGACGTATCCGCCGAAGCGGTCGCCCATCAAGGAGCGCGCCAAGCTGCATGGGATGGACTTCTCTGGACCCGAGAGCGTCCTCACCAACATTACGTCGCTGATTCCGGACGAGGAGCTCGACCATCACTTCTTCTCCTTGACGCACCACGGCCGCGACGCGACAACCGAGTACGCCCAAGGCCACTTGCTTCGGCGCAGCATCATGAAGACCAAAGGCGCCGTCCTTCCCAAGCTGACGCAGGCGTCGCTCGAGAAAGCGCCGCACCGCGCACCGTTTGTACGAACGAACGTGATCGCCGACTACGAGACGCAGTTTGGTCTCCACGCACGCATCGCGATGGGCGGCGTCGGCCCCTTTGCGGTCTCGCGGCCGGTCTCCAACCCCGAAGATAGCAGCAGCGAACTTGGCGACGACTTTGGTCCGTTCGCGTCCTTTACACGGGAGATTTCCGAGCACGACTATAGCTCGCCCCACTTGACGTCGCCGCGTGCGAAAAATATGACGGCGACGCGCGTCGTGGGGGGCGGGGGGCGGCTTCAATCGGTGCCGAAAAAGAGTCCCGTGCCGCCGCCGATGCGCCCAGCGCAGCGCCATCCAAAAGCCCACGGGGTGCGGCGCGCGCGCCCGACGCGGCACGACATGTCGCAGATTATCAATGTACCGAGTGACACGGTCGAGTACGACGTGGCCGTGCTCGACGCGCTACGGACGCAGCAGCCCGTGTACCGACACGTGGACGGCAACGGGCTGCAGTACCATCTCGACAACGCAACTCTGCAAGACGACGACGACGACGACGACGACGGTGGCAATCGGCTGGACGATTATTTTACGACGAATGACGACGGGATGCTGGTTGCGCGGGTCGAGACGCAGCCCAATGCACACGTCCCGACGCTGCTCGAGCAGCGCATCAAGGCCCACCACCAAGCCAGTACGTCTGAAGGGCCGCATGCGGGCTGGGATCTCCGCGGCAACAACCACGTGCTCCAACTGCACGGCGAGAGCACGCCGCTGCCACCCGTCTTGTACCCGCTCACAAAGAGCTAACTATTAGCATCCAGTCTTTTACATGGCTACCTCCTCGAGATTGGTGCTTGAAAAAGCGTGGCATGGGACGAGGTGCCATCGATGCCTTTACACCCCTGCGAGAAATGGCCTTAATGAGACACTCGATTCAACCAACGCACGACGATGCGGCCTCTGTCGACGCTCGTACTCCTCGTACTCGCACCACTCTGCCTCGTGCGGGCCGACGCCCCATGTTACAACGGTGCCACGGTGGCTCCGCATGCGCACTGCTATGGCGTCATGATCAACATGAATTTTGACGGTACCATCCTCGACAAGCGCAGTCTGGAAGCGGGTGATCTCCTCGGGCAGCTGTACGCCTGCTGCGATGCATGCGCTTCAACTCCTTCTTGCACCAGTTTTTCCATTGTCAACACAATCTGCCACCTCCAAAATGCTACACAGAACCCGACGCCTCTGCTCGGCGCGGTCGTTGGGCGCTACAAGCTAGCCAAGTAGACAGGACAGCTACCTAATCCTTCTGGTTAATGATGTCCTGGATCTCTTGACGCCGCTTGGCGCGGCGAGCTTCGATGCGCTCGGCGACGTTCTCGAAGCGAAAGACGTTGGTGACGGCGGACGGGATGGCGTCGGCGAGGCCCGAGCCAAAGGCGCCCCACTGGCGCTCTTCGTCGGTCCACGCCTCGGGGCGCGACTGGCGCACGCTGCCCTCGGCAAACTGCTCGGGAAACTCAAAGCGAAAGTACGCCATGATGCTCACGGCGGCGAGGCTCGTGCCCGTGATGACCGAGAGCCCGACGCCGGCCCAGTTGATCTTGCGGGCCATGTTGCTGCTGGAAATGCGACGATGGACCACGATTGGTAGATATGCCACCAAGTTTTGGCGAATCACGGCGCGGTATGTTGCGTGACGGCAGTACTCCAAGGGTCCTTGCATGTCGTGGTCGTGAGTGCACCGACCACATCCATGTACTAGTATGTGCCTTTAGATATAGTTTACATAGAATATGTACTCTATACTTTCCGTAGCAAACTTTAACTGACGAGGACTGCAATCAAGGGTGTTTTATTCCCTTGCAATGGAGAAAGCATGTCCTTTCAGTGTCACTTGACGGCCTCGCCGTGATTCGCGCAAATGCCACCTGAATTGACCAATCATGGCAGTATATATCACACACTATATTCTTCACACACTAAATGCTATGATGTCAAATCTTTGAAAGCTAGTTTCTCGAGCTAGACACCAGCACCATCGACGCGACGTAGTGTTTCATGCTCTCCAAACGATTCTCTATCGATGTGCCAAGTATGGGCGATTTCATTTTCCAACGTCATTTGGCCGCCAACTGCCTAGGAATCGGCAGCGCACAACCGCTGGTCGCCATGGATTGGTCAAAAAAGTCTTTTTTCCCATCTTTTGTACAACGTGATTGGCCAATAACCAGCATTATAAGCGAACCGTACCACAGCAGAGCGAGCCTCCTCAATGCTCCGTCAACAATGCACATGCAGCCTACGAGAAATACTACAAACAAATGATATTTTGATTAATACGTAGTAGAGAACTAGGGCGCTAGTTGGTTGAAAAATCGTAGCCCAGCACTGACAACGACCCAAGGTTCCTCACCGCCTACTCGTCGCGAAGAAGACGGTTCGGGCGGCACTGAAAGTAGCCATCGTTGATACGGGTGCAGCGGGTGCCCGACACGCACGTCGTATACCCAATGTAAGCGCGGCCACCGCATTGGCCCCACATCGGCACCGTTGGCTTCTTGGCTGGCTTCTGGCCATAACCGAGAAGCGGCACGCAGTTCTCTAAGCAGAGAAAAGAGGATTTGGTAAGGCATATCCATACGAGGTCGTGAGACGTACTATAGACTTGCCACCGCGGCGAATGCAAAGCAATCCAGTAGAAGCGCAGCATGCAGCCCTTGGCGCCGCAGCTTGAGTAGTCGACCGGGAGGTTGGCCGCCGGTTTGGCCGGAAAGTTGGTCGCGCAATCGTCGTTCTGGAACACGCGCTTGTTGTCGAGCCAGACCTCGCACGGACCCGTGTGGCTCAAGATGAAGCCTTCACCCGTGTCGGGGTTTTGAAACGTCATCTTGCCGTTGCTCGGGATCTCCTTTCGGGCGACGTTGGTGAGCGTGTTGCCGCAGTCAGGGCCATGCTGGTCCAGCAAAGCACGAAGCGTCTTGTACTTGGACTGGGCCTTGAACGCCTTGTTGAAGTTGGCAGCGTTGTTTTGGGGCGAACCGTTGAACTTGCCGGGGAGGAAAGCTTGGATTTCGGCCACGTATGTCGTGTGCATGACGTTGGCCTTGAACTCTGCGAAGGGGTTGGACACAATACCGTGGCTCGAGACAAGCGGCAGCGCCAGAGAGAGGAGCGAGAGCAGTGTGTTAAAGCCCACCATTGGTTTCGACAAAGGACGAACTTGAAAAATGAATCTAGGTTCGAGACCACACGCTCACTGCAGAGCTGGCTACATATGTACGTCCGCTGCACGTTCCTAGCACCGAGAAGCAGCCTTGAATACGAAGCCTCATGCATGGACTTTCTGCTCCACGTAGCTTCGACAAGATATGATTTGCGAACCAGACGGTTACAACGACGCTTAACGCTTAACACGGCAATGTGACTCGTTTCTGCGATGGGCGATAAACAAATGCGATCCATGCCGCCTGATGGTGTGACATTAGTGGAAGACTAGAACTTCCAGTCTACTAATAAAGGAAGCCCCTTTTCTAGTCTTGTTTGGTTTTATCAAATAGTACGACGCAGCAAGTTGCGGGGAAAACACGTGCGTGGGTGTAGGACGTAAGTCCTAGTGTGAGAATGTCAGTACGAACAACCGACTCCTTTTCTGCATACCGGTATTATGTATATATACTGGTACTAGTACTGTGCAAAGTACTCTATACACCCAAAGTCGTCCATTCGTTGCAAGAACTAGTCACATAGTCGTACTGGGCGTGATTCGGACCGCATGGTTCGCAAAGCGCAGAGTCTTTGCGCTCGGTCTTTGCCAAAGACCGAGCAGCTACGTGAGGCAGGTAGGCCAAGCTGGGGGCTTTGCTCGTACTACCAAAGACCTTTGTACTACGTATTAATCAAAATATCATTTGTTTGTAGTATTTCTCGTAGGCTGCATGTGCATTGTTGACGGAGCATTGAGGAGGCTCGCTCTGCTGTGGTACGGTTCGCTTATAATGCTGGTTATTGGCCAATCACGTTGTACAAAAGATGGGAAAAAAGACTTTTTTGACCAATCCATGGCGACCAGCGGTTGTGCGCTGCCGATTCCTAGGCAGTTGGCGGCCAAATGACGTTGGAAAATGAAATCGCCCATACTTGGCACATCGATAGAGAATCGTTTGGAGAGCATGAAACACTACGTCGCGTCGATGGTGCTGGTGTCTAGCTCGAGAAACTAGCTCTCAAAGATTTGACATCATAGCATTTAGTGTGTGAAGAATATAGTGTGTGATATATACTGCCATGATTGGTCAATTCAGGTGGCATTTGCGCGAATCACGGCGAGGCCGTCAAGTGACACTGAAAGGACATGCTTTCTCCATTGCAAGGGAATAAAACACCCTTGATTGCAGTCCTCGTCAGTTAAAGTTTGCTACGGAAAGTATAGAGTACATATTCTATGTAAACTATATCTAAAGGCACATACTAGTACATGGATGTGGTCGGTGCACTCACGACCACGACATGCAAGGACCCTTGGAGTACTGCCGTCACGCAACATACCGCGCCGTGATTCGCCAAAACTTGGTGGCATATCTACCAATCGTGGTCCATCGTCGCATTTCCAGCAGCAACATGGCCCGCAAGATCAACTGGGCCGGCGTCGGGCTCTCGGTCATCACGGGCACGAGCCTCGCCGCCGTGAGCATCATGGCGTACTTTCGCTTTGAGTTTCCCGAGCAGTTTGCCGAGGGCAGCGTGCGCCAGTCGCGCCCCGAGGCGTGGACCGACGAAGAGCGCCAGTGGGGCGCCTTTGGCTCGGGCCTCGCCGACGCCATCCCGTCCGCCGTCACCAACGTCTTTCGCTTCGAGAACGTCGCCGAGCGCATCGAAGCTCGCCGCGCCAAGCGGCGTCAAGAGATCCAGGACATCATTAACCAGAAGGATTAGCCAGACATGCTTCACGGACTCACCCAATGAGCAATGTAATCTTGTACTAGTACTCGTATTGCATTAGTATGTCAAGACGTGACCTAGGGAGAAGCAACTGTGCGTCTTAGATAAAACGACCGACGATCGACTTGAGCAGCGGCGTGGGGTCGCCAGCTGCGCTCTTGAGGTAGCAGACGCTGGCGTTGACGCTGAAAGCAACGCACGGCGTGGCGCGGGCGCAGGCGTCGCAGCAGTCCAGGACTTGTTCGAGGATGTCGCCGCCGACAAAGCTCTGGCTGATGGTGTTGCCCGGGAAATCCATGTTGAGCGTGATGTTGGAGCAGGCGGGACGCTCGTGCGGAGCAAAGGTAGTCATGTCAGACGCGCCGGCCTTGTAATGGCAGCGCGGCAGCGACATACTATGCACAAGGCAGCACCAGCTGAGGAGGCTCGCGCTGAGGTGGCGGAGGTATAGCTGCATCGGAAAAGTGGTATGTGGTAAATGATGCAGTTCGACGAGTTCTCTGTCGCCCCGTAAAAGCTCGAAAAAAGCCCTTTACGACGTCAAGGTTATAACTTGAACTGACTATCGCCAATTAGCAATCAATCAAAACCACCGTCAACAACTGTGTACCGCCTGCGTGGATATGCCCTCTACATAAAGTGCGGTGGTGGACGTATGCAATAAACAGGCATGCATTACTCAACAACGAACTACTTCAAAACTACGGAAGAATTAAGCGCGGCGAAGCAGACGGCGCGAATAGTCTTCGTCCTCGTCGCTCTCGACTTCTTCGTCGTCATCAATCTCGGTCGACTCGGACGCCGGGCGGCACTGGTAATAGTAGTCGTTCTGCTTCTCGCAGCGTGTGCCCGAGACGCACGCCGTCGCGCCGTTGTAGTCCTTGCCGCCGCACTGACCCCAGACCGCGACCGTGCCTGACGGCTTGGACATGGGCTTGGTCGTGGGCTTGGTCGTCGGGTTCACCGGCTTGGGCGTCGGGTTGACCGGCTTGGGCGTTGGGTTCACCGGCTTGGCCGTGGGCTTCGGCGCCGACGTCGGCTGCTGGCCGTTGCCCTTCAGCGGCACGCAGTTCTCTAGACGATAGCGCATTAGCTTCCATGCATACACAAAGCA